TTGTATTCGATAATCTATATCTATAAAAGAGGAACTATGTATGTATGTATGTATATATGTGTATATACGTTATGGACTCCGAAACCGCTCGACAGATTGTAATGAAACTTTCAGGCATTATTAAGCATCTTTCAAGGATGGTTCGAGTGAAGTTTGGTGCAGATCCGTCAAAAGGGCTCTGCCCCAGAGGGTTTTAAGTGGGCCAATGTCAGACTTTTTGATCTAGAATGTTTACAAATAAATATAATTTAAAAGCAGATGTTTACTTTCACCAACTGTTTTGTACGTTTGAATAACTACAACATTCTGTATTAGCATTAGTCATGATTTGAAATAGTGCCACAGTGTTTCTACAGATTGCAGCACAGAAAACTATTTTACTTTGAAATAAGTCCAAATGTATTAAACCCCAATCGCAGCACACCTGTGCACTTAATAACGTTTAAATTCTCCAATGTTAAATATTAAAACATAAAAACCTATATAAAAGTACTGTATTATAAACAATAAAAGGGATGACTTTTTTTAAATGTATGACAACAGCTAATTTGCAACCAAAAGGTGAGTGAGCGTAGCGAACGAACATCAACCTGGAGGCGAGTAAGCGTAGCGAACGAGCTAACCAGAAAACAAGTGAGCGCAGCGAACGATTTCCAACCTGAAGGTGAGTGAGCGCAGCGAACGAACTTCAACCGGGACGTGATTGAGCCATGCGAATACTTATGAAGTTAAACGGGGCAAAGCCCGTGGGTACAGCTAGTATTTCATATATCAAACTATTACCTATCTGAATCGTTTGGATAGCAACCTTTTCCTTGTCTTTTTGGGTTTACAAATTTTTAAATACAATTACAGTGTGTGTTTGTTAAATATTAATTGTTTCCACATTCTTACATAAACGTAATATACTAAGAGCCTTCTGTAGTTTAAAGAAAGTTTACATAATTTTTTTTTTTTATTTTTTTTTCAAAAAGGCAAAATGTTATAGAACTGGGTACTAGTTCCCTCCCCCACGGAAAACTATCTTTTTTTCTATACTACACATATTATAATAACGCATGAAACAACAAATCTGCCTAAAATTGTTATTACTTGACCAAAACAAGCATTGTAGATGAAACATGATATTTTGTTGTTTAGTTTTCAACCAGATAACATGATATCCTGTGTTGTGTTGTGACCTAGCGGGGAATGCCCGCAGCGAATACTCAAGTTGAATTGACAAAGTTGTCTGGTCGCACACTGTCGACCCCAACTTTTATATAATTAAGCCGAACTGTGCTGTATAATCACATTCAAATGGATAACTTTTCTTTTTACAAACTTTGCTAAGGACTATCACCGTAATCTTCATGTTAACACCTGGCTCTGGGGCCAAAGGAAAGTTTTGTTTTAGAGTCCACAATAATGATCTGTTGATTAAAAATAGATAATAAAATGTACAAAACATCCTAAGTTCTATTCAAAGTATTTAATTTAACAAGCAATGTGATAGGGTAATTATCAGGAAAGTTACTACCAGCTTTTATCGAAATTCGGGAGTTATTGTTAAAAAATAAATTATTTAAAACATGTATTTTTCTTCTAAACAACTTCAAAACTAAAATGTTTGTTTTTAATATTAATGTTCAATAAACATTCCATTAATTATTAAAAGCTATAAACGCAGTACTATGTTTTTGGTTATCCTAAACGGTAATTAATAAATTTTGCCTGTTGGTGGATATATCTTCATAAAGTTTGCAAATTGTTGTGTTTAGTTTTACACATTAAATTCAAATAAACCAAAGCAGGGACCAAATTTGGATCGTACTGTAAATTTGCATTTACTGTGAACTTATTCCAAGTGAAACTGAAAAAATCCACGTAATCTAAATGTTTACAGTAACGGATGTAAAGTATCCCCTTAATTTTTTTAAGTGTATTTGAAAAATATATTTTAAAAATGAAATACATCTAATGGAATTTGTTTGGGGAGCGAGCTGGCGTAGTGGTTAGAGCGCGGGACTTCAGTCCCTGAGGTCCCGGGTTCGATCCCCGCCAAGTCACCAATGGATTTTATCGAAGTGATAATTTATTTATTTATTTATTTATTTATTTTATTTTCAATGCTACAAAACAGCACATGCCAATTACTTTGTAGCATTAATCAAATAACAGGAATGTTAACATGATATTACAATTAATAATAACACAACTAGGGAAAAAATGTCCGTCTTCAATGGTGACAGTTTTACTCAAAATATAAATAAAGAATATAAAATATAAATAAGAATATAAATAAGAATGACAATATAGAATTTAAATATACAGTAACAAGAGAATTTATACTAACTAAAAATAATACTGATGGTCATGAATCAAATATAATAACTAAAATATAAATATAAAATAAATATCAAATATAAAAGATACTAATAATGCCGTAACCCCTAGGTCTAGCCTGAAGTAATGTGAAAAACAATCCCAGGCTCGTGCCTAGCGTCCTTAGGAAAAAAAAAAAAAAAAAAAATGGAATTTGTTTAGGATGCAAGTAAAACATGGAGAATTTGATTTTTTAAACCTAAAATGTACGTTATCTATTAATTTATAAAGTAAAAATGTATATTATTACAAATCAGAAACTGTTCATCCTGTGTAATTGTAAATAATGTTTAACACCATATTCCGCTCCTCAGTCGCAAGTAAAGCCAAATCTAATCAACTAATTTAAAAAGTGTGTAAATTAGGGCTCCTACTAAAATAACCTAAGGTTTTTGACGTTCGCTGTCTTCAAAATAAACCTTAAATATATGCTTTAAATTTTCAGAAAAAACCTTTCAAAAAATCCCCGCAATATATATTATAACACTAAATACAAATAAGTAATGGTTTACAAACTATAAAGAGTTTTAATGTCGAACCTTCATATCCTAGGACACTAGGCTATAGCCCGGTAACATTTTAAACATTACATCACGCTAGGCCTGAAGGGTGGTGGTATTATGACACAGCTAAAATCAAAAGCCTTTAGTGATTCGTGGGAATTGAACCGAGCACCATGGGCACCGAAGACCCGTGCACTACCACTAGGTCAGCCTGCTCCTGACAAATTGTATAGTACCTAATAATAACTCATAGAACTGCCAGCTAATTCACATTTTTACCATCATTGTTTAATTTATATTCGAAACACAGAAACTTGAAGGGAGATTGCCGTATAGAAATGGCCATTTGATCTCGCTCTTTAAAAATCCACAAGGCAATTCACTGGCTTATTTACACCAGACCAAATCGATACTAAACTGAAAAACCTTTACCCGTTTGAACATGGATTCGTTAATCAATCAGCATTTCGACGATCCTAAGTAAATGTCTGTTTGTCTTTGTTGGTCACACTTAACCTTTGGATCTTACTTTTTTATTGTATTTAAATTTCTCTGATGGTTTTTTTTTTTACTTATTCTGTTTTAAATATCTATTATAATAACTGGAATCTAATTAAATTAAATATCATGACTACACAATATTAATGAGAAATTAAATTGAATTAAAACTATTGCATAACATGTCTTGTGAACATACTGTTTTATTTATCAAAAGGTAGATTTGTTAAAAAACCTAAAAGAGGAAATGCATCTTCATCAGATGTGGAGGGATGGTACTGAATGGTATATTTTTTAAATAAATCTTCAATTTCATGAATAATTAAGATATATTTCTAAATATATGGGTAGCATCCCTAAAAGTCTTTGACCACTAAAGTGAAGAAGGTTACAGCTTTCTTTTTCCTAAATATGTGACACTAAATCACATAAGATTCGCACACGCAACACGCAAAAGGGACACTCCTTACAGAGTTGTAGGGACCCTTTAATTTATCACAAATTGTATAAGAATTGTTATCTTCTGCTAAAAATAATACAGATATGTATTTACCATGGGAGTTCCTTATAAAAAAAGGCCATACGAAATATATTAGTATATGTTCAAGGAGGCATCAAGATGTACTTAGATAATGCTCAACAAGGATTCACTGGGAACAGTTTGCCAATACATGATAAATTTGGATGAAAGGAAACCAGCCTAGGTCTATTAAAACCATGGATGGAGTAATATATGGAGTAATATATATGGAGTAATATGATTAAGGTCACTGAAACATTACACGATTCGTTTATCGTTTGTTCTGGCTTTGGTTGTAATTGATTGTAATATTAATGCGTTTGCTGATGTTAAGTAATAATGTATATAATTTTAACTTGATTTGACTACGGGTCCTGAATAAAAGTCTTGTACAACTGTAAAGAGTAGATATACTCTTCTGCAGTAATACATACACAATACCCCGCCCCAGCTAACCTGCTGACTACACGAATTTCTATTCGTCTGAATTGGTTTTCATTCATATCCATTTAAATAGCATTAGGTTAAACGAGTACCTTAGTTTGCAGCTACTAAAAGGGAGGTTTGCTGTCAGCTAGGGAGGGAGGCTAATAAAGTGTGTTTTTAGTACAATATTAATAGCTTGGTTCAAAATAAATAAATTTACCAAGATTGGTAAAAATATATCTACAAACAAACAAACTACAAAATACTACAATATTCTCCATAAGAATAGCATAGCAATTTAAAATTTAAATTTTGTTGAATTTTCTCCGTTACCAATAACAGTACAAAAACACTTAGTGTATATTAAAATTTGAACGACTTGTGTTTTTTGGCCTCTGGGGACATCAAAATGAAAAAGTAAATCGGTCCCGGGCCTAGCTAGGTCTTGGCATGCCACCTACGGTAATAGCTACTTCCCTATAGAGAAATTTGCTAAAATGTGGCTGTAAATATATCTTAAAAGAATGTATGATTGCAGTTTTTGCATAGAAATAACAAATTGGTCCCTAAACCACTTCCCTATTTATTGAACAATCTAAACCTTACTTAAAATAAAAAGCTTCATACTAATTCAAACTACTTCTTAATTATCACAGGCAGAAATGAAAAAGAGACGATGGGCTGAAAAATGTATTTTTATTCTATTAAAATGTATAATGTACATTGTCTGTCTTACTTCTTTGTAAATGCATTGTCCGAACGAAGGATATACTGTACTCGTACAAAAATATTGCACATGGGTTCATAACAATAATACACCATTTCAATCACACTTAAGCTAAACAATTGTTTTACAAACATAAATTAAATACAAATATAACAAATAAATAATATACAAATATACTATATTCTAAACAGTGTTCATAGTATTTATTAAAAATGTAATATTATCACACTTGCGACTTTTATTTATGAGGGTGTTTGGACGATTCGCCTCATCAACTCATCAAAAGTATATTTCATGTTTTATATTTTATACCATGAATGACCTATATTATTTTGAAAACTACTATAAAAACATTGGTTAGCTGTAAAATTTCACTAGCGTTGGAAAGACTTTAATTACGTTTTGACAATAGTTTGCTGGTTTGATAACCATACTCGTGTTTATAATGATGAATCAAAAGCATGATTTACCTACCTTCGGAATAAAAAGTTGCCTCTAAATACCTATGTGTAATTGAATACAAAAGAGATCAATGTCCTTTTACCGCCTTCACTCCCATAATCATCTTGGGTTGATACGTTCTTCTAACACAAAAGCATCAGTTCATTTTCTCAGTGCGAAAACACAATTGAGACCAATTGACATATCTTATATTCGTTACTTATCAAATAACACCATCATCGAACATCTTGTCAGGAAGAGCTATAGGAGTATGGCAAATCCCTCGGTTGACGTTTGATGTTGTGATGTTGATGTTGTTGATGTTGACGGTGGTTGACCTTGGCTGCTCAACTGCTTGACGTGGAGTTGCTGTTGGAAGTACCGTTGTTGACGTCTACGGTAGTCAATGTGGAGTTAAATTTTGATTGGCCCCAAGTCCATAGCTTCGTCATTGCACTGCCGTTTACATTGTTGGGTGGTGGTTCTGTTTTCAGATCTACTACCTGTAACGATAGACATACAATAACAATTAATAACAACGATATACAGTTAATAACAACGATATACAGTTAATAACAACGATATACAGTTAATAACAACAAAAATCAATGGGGTTAAAGGTCGTTTCACACATATCAGTTACAGCACAGTTCCATCACCGACCAGTCACAGTTCAGTCTCAGTTGCATCAGAAATTTCTCAGCCCAACTGTCAGTCATTTGGTTTCAGTTATCCTTCCGTCACTTAATTTACAGTTTTGTTACAGTAAAAAAATGTTGAATTAAAACACAATATTCTATCGAATTTTCATCATCCGTCTTGTTGATTGTTAAAACTTTACTTAAAATATGAAATCGATTTTTAAAATAAAAATAGTACTATTTTCTAACCTCAAACACGTCCGTCAGGCGTCCGAACAATCCAAAAATATCGGTTAAAGAATTCTGAAATTGACTGACGGACGCCTGCAGAGCTACTGACGGAACTGTGACAGATGAGTGTAAATAGCGCAATAATAAATCCCATGGAATACGTTTGTAAACTGTGACGTGCCTGCAGTGACTTTTCTGTGACGAGCTGTGACTGATGTGTGTGAATCTACCTTAAAACACCATTAAAGGCCCACACACATATCACTGTTAAAGGTTCACACATATCAGTTCAGTCACAGTTCCGTTACAGTCCAGTTACAGTTCAGTCTCAGTTGCATCCGCAATTTTTCAGTCAACTATCCGTCAGTTGGTTTCAGTCAGTCTTACGTCTATAATATTTACAGTCAAAACTTTTAAATTATAAACCTATATTCTATCAAATTTTCATTGTCCATCTTGTTAATTGTTAAAAACAGTAGGCCTACTCAAACTATAAACACAATCATTTAAATAACAAAAACACTATTTTCTAACCTCAAACAGGTCCGTCAGGCGTCCGAATAATCCAAAAATATCGGTGGGAAGAAATCTGAAACTGACTGACGAACGCCAGCAGAGCGACTGACGGAACTGCAACGGATGAGTGTAGATAGCGCAATAGAAAATCCATTAAAGAATATATTTTTTAACTGTGACGTACCTGAAGTGACTGGACTTCGACGTGCCGTAACTGATATGTGTGAATCGACCTTAATTAAGTAGTGTCTTTATTTTGGGTATTCTTTTTTATTTTATTTGTGAACAGAAGTGGCACTTTTTACATTCCTTGAAATAGGTTGGACCGAACACTTGCCTTTTACTACTTAAGTCAACCCTTTGTCAAATAGTATCATTAATTGATTGAGCAATGAAAAATGTCATCCAGGATCGTCCCAGAAACTTTCGGATTCAAATGTGATATACTTGGCTGACAATTAAGAACTTTCTTTGAATAATTTCAGTTAATGAAAATACAATTTACTCTGTTACAGTCCACTAATACCGTCTGTGAACGAGTAAATCTGAAATTGGAGTTATTTTATAACCACGCAGTCGAAAAGTCTGGCTACTTTATTGAATACTTTTCTTTATGCCGGGATTGTGAATTAATAATTTTCCGTTAGCTTTAAGCCAAAAGGCGAACATTTACTAGAACTTAGGCATAAATTGTTAAGGGCTTTCGCTGTTTACACAGACCTAAATACTGCTGTAACTTGTTTAAACCATAATATCTTGTGCCAATTCTTTCAAACAATGGAAAATGGAAGAAAAGCCAAATACACCTAAAAAAACATCATTAATAGTCTTACCTGTAAGTTTTACATTAATTTGAACTATTGGAAACATTTAAATTTTAAGTATTTTAATATTTGAAACGAACTTGTGCGATTTTGCGGAAGTTTATTTTTTCATTGAATTTTACACAAACGTATTACAATAATAACAGCGAAGGTAAACGATAGTGTCCTTTTAACAATATCACTGAACAGTAGATAGTTAATTAATGTTTCTGTTGCAATATGTTTAGCATTTTGCTGTAGTCCAAAATTATGAGTTATGTTGTACTGCAGTTGTGCAAAAGAGTAATTGAAATAACTTTGAACGTCAGATATAATCGGTTTATTGATAATCGTTGAAAACTAACTATATTTAATAAAGCAAACGGCATTCAACACATGATCCATGTGGACTTAATTTAAGATCTCTTGTAATTTTAAACAATAAAACCCTGAACAACCTACACAAGTTGTCGTTGTTACTGTCTCAGAAAACATGTCTAAATAAAAAACAACCATTTATGTAAAGTGTTTAAATAACAGTTGTTAATACAAGTATTGTATTTAAACTATACATATTTAAAGAAATTGTATGCAGAAAATGTAATGTATGATATTTCCATCTATTCCTACAAGTGGTTGTGAAAAATTTTAAAGAGTTATGAGTGAATTTGTTACAACAATTAATAGCACGCCTCATAATTTACGATATGAATTGGCGAAATAGACTTACGTTCGCGATCGTTTGCAATATAAAACTACATTATAATAAAAACCTAGAGCCTGAAGGAAGAAATAAAACCCAAATTAAGAGTTTTCTATGTATGCTATAAAATGCAGTCTATATGCACAGTCATCTATGTTTGTATTATCAATAATAAGTAGGAAAGTAACTGTTACCAAACACATAACTCTGGTAGAGCTGATGAAAATACCTGGAAGTCAGGTGAAGAAGTGTTCTGCTGAGGGTTTAGGTGGTTGTTGATGGTCTGGAGGAAGGCATCTACGAGGGAAGGTCTGGGAGTGCCAGTATGAGACGGTTGGAAGGTACCGTTGGGAGGGCCCTCCCTATGTAGGTAGGCGACTGGCCAGTGCATGGGACGGTCCTCCCCAACGTAGGGGTAGTAGTGATCACTACATGGTCTCCATTGGTCTTTGTCAGCACTGCCTACGTAGCACCTACCAACAATAAAAGATACTTTGTAAGTCCATGAGTGCCATAGATTTCAATGTGTTTGAAATACAATGTAATCAAGCTTCCATATTTTTAGCTTTACAAGAGTTACATTTCACTACACTAGGTTATAATCACTAATCAGCTGTTGGAACTTCATTTGTTAATTGATAATCGAAAGAAGCATTTTTACGGTGTAAAAAAAGTAGGAAATCAGCTGATTATTAATTATGGTTTAAACACTTAACCTTTCATCATATGCCTATGTTTAACATAATTCAGATCAGATGCATTTAAGTGTAACTGTTATATAACCTGCATTCCTGGCTTTACCTATTGTCTAGTTACTTAATTACTTTTTTGGTAAATAGCATAGTTCCTCTTTTGGTGGGTTTTTATTTTCCCCCTTTTATAGATTAAAATGCTTATTAAATACTGCAGTAAACATTTATTTCGCACAACATTGAAGCGTTTAGCAAATGCGCAGTTTTTTTCAAGCGAAATGTCAATTCACCAAATATACATCTGCTGATCAGAACTAGACAAGAACCACAACTATCTAATGATTAATTCATATAAAAATACAATTAGGCCTATGTATAAAATGAAATATATATTTTGCACTAACTGTTTATATATTTAGTTACAGTGAGAATTGCAACCATTAGGCTTTCACTAGCTTCCTTATAAAAAAGAATCATGTTTAATTCGTAAAAAATGTAACTGTTTTGCATAAAGATACAATTTTTTATACAAACACTCCTTCACTTCTGTCCCTTCTGCCCATACTGCGAATATTGGGGATGATTTGATGCAAACTCATATTTACTTTATTTCACTTAAAAAATTATATTATGTGAATTTGTTCCCTTCAATGAAAGTTATAATATTAAGGAGAAATTAAACACAATAATTAGCATAAAATAAGAAAATCTGTTGACTACTCGTACCTTATGATATATCATCCATAGAAATAATATTAACAAACATTCTTGTTCAAATTCGCTGGACATTTCGCGATGTATGTTGAATGTCCTATAGGATAAAAGTGTATGAAAATGAGTATCAATTTAGGAAACAGCTGTGATGTTAAGCGAGTAACTATTCCATCAACTTCCAAATCCAGCCTTCCATAATACTGATTGATGGTACAAGTTATGAACATGTGTTACCGAGCTGCGTTTGGAATAGTAACCAACGCGAGTGTTACTGTTAATGTTAATGCTAATACTTAAATGCCTCAGTGATTTGACATGATCGGATTAACGGTGAACACATGCCCTAAGCAGATTAAGTCTCGTGCTATGTAAACATGTGATCTGAAGCTGGAAACGTTAATTAAATTAGGAATGTTCTGCATTCCCAAACCATATTACCGTGACAAGCCATTTGTGAACATGTTTTGTTTTGTTTGTGCATACCTATTACGTAATTTAAAGTAGCTATTTTTTTCTTTTTTAAAACTTAACATGAATTATTCTCGAGAATGAATAGTTCAAAATCAAGTGTTATCAAACAAGTGAAGCAATTACTGTAAACATAAAACGGAATTTAATAAAATTATAAAATCAAAAGAATTATATATTGGTGCAAAAAAAATCTTCGTGAACAAAATATATAAGATTCTAAAAACATAAATAAACTTCTACTGTAGAAATATGCTTTTTGGCAGCATCGGTGTTTAAAGTTTTTTTTTGGCCGGGCAGTGTCCTACTGATTAGAGGGCGAAAGTTAGTCATAGTTCAATTTACATAACTCCCTCCAAAAAAACGTATTTAATTAGTTTTAGTCACAAATTAATTATTGATAACTTCGATTTTGTTCTCTTTGGTTTGTCTTCGCTTGACAAATGATAAAACAAACATATATTTTTATTCACGTATTTACGTTGGCTTCATGCAAACAAAAATATAATATACCAATTGTATACCAATGGTTTTAGATATTTAAAATACATTAGAGGTTCGGTGTTGAAATTCTTTACAACAAATTCTGGAAAACATTGTGGAATTTAATTTATAGCCTAATGTTTTTATTAAAATTTAAAGATATCTGCAAATTTTTATTGTTTTTGATATTTTAATAGCGTAATAAAGAAACACTATTTGATCTTCTGTGTTCTCGGCTTCGATTCAAGTCCAAACCCCAATCTTGAGCCTACAAACCTTACTTTAATTCTCAGAGTCAAATAAACTAGTACAGACTTGATTTTACCTTTTGTTTAGTTCTGTTTTGGTAATAGTTATTTGTGTAACTAGTGGGCAAAGTGGCACTTTGCTGCACACGAGAGCAATGTTTACGCACGAGCCGCAGGCGAGTATATTTTTCCTGCAGTCACTATAAAGCATATAAATAATTAGTCTTTCAAACACTATACAACACGTTTTTAGGTTCAGCTGGCAACACAAATAGGTGCCCTAGAGAAAGAAGTACCCGGTCCGTATCACTCCGCTATTTTTCCTCGGCAAGAAATGTGCTCCACGACTTTTTATACTTTTATACTTTTTTACTCCGAGAATATAGTTCCGTATGTTTTTGTAATTTGAAGTGATTTCCGTGCCTAAAAAAATGCTTTAAAGGTATTTTCTTGTTTATTAAGATCGTAGGAATGTTTTAAAAACGTTTAAAAGTAAGGTCCAGAAAGTTCAGAAATACCGAAACTATAAACACGAAATGACAGGTTAAATCGTAGTTATAATAGTCAATCAACTGCTCATAGTATTATTATCTTTAAGTGTTGCCAACCTATTCCCAAGCGTACATGGATTACGTGCATAATATAACCACGATGTTTTGTGTTGTTTCGTCGGAATCCTGATGTGCGCCAAAGTATAAACCGTACGACAATAGTTATTTGTGAAATTAGTGAGCAAAGTGAGCAATTGACTCACTCGAGAGAAATCCTTTCTCACGAGCCATTAGCGAGTGAGGAATGGTTTCTCGAGTGAGGCAACTGCACTTTGCACTAGAGTTGCACATTATACTTTTCCTACAGTTACAATAAAACTAATAAATTAGTAAAGAAACGTGACATATTTTTACACAGAAGTGAACTCTTAATATTACATTTAATAATCAACACGATCAACAACAGTACAACAGCTGACCAGCTGATTTACAGCCAGGGCTGCCAACGTTTTTCGCGCGCATACGACCTTGTCTGCATGTTACGCGCTCACTATTTCGTGCCTTCACGTTGCAAATCTGGAGTGAGACAAAGTAATTAGAGTGAGACAATGTTAACATTGTCTCACTGATGAGCAAATTGGCCACTTTGCATTCTCAAATCAGTGAGAGAACATGTACATTGTTAGGTAACTGTAGTAAAAGTATAAACCATACGACAAAGTATAAATATGCAGCAATTAGCAGCTTTCTGTACTATAAACAGTACAAGGAAGCCAACTTTGTCGGGTGACTGTAGGAAAAGTATTTTGACTGACTGAAATAGGCTTCAAGTTAAAGAAAAAACGTACCCATTGCATGAGCTAGAATTAAAACCTTATATTTTATACTTATAATTAGATTTAAATAAGTTTTAGGATTGGTGGTCTAGCATTCTCTTGTCCACATCTACATTGTACCTGTGCAAAGCAGCCAGTACAGTATAAAAATGAACTGGACTGATAAATATTAGTGTCAGTACCAGGACGTGAGCCCACGACAATGCTGCCATGGATTCGTAGTATGTGTCACTTCCGACTGGGTCACCGACTCGCCACCATGCAAATACATTAAAATTATTTCTAATCTAACAAGACGTGCTACACAAGTGGCCTACCAAGGGTAGCTGTAGCCCTCGGAGTAGCCACAGTGATGCCCAGACCTACAGCAGTAGTCCCAGTCTCCTACGTCGTCCACTGGGCACGTCCAGATGCCCACCTCGAAGTTCATAGAGCACACTGTGCCCGCTCTACAGGGTCGTCCGCTAACTGTGAATCTTTGCCACGTTTCACCTACACATATAATAAGAAATATTGAACTTTGCCTCTAATTATGGTGAAACACCGACTTACTGAAAACATGCTACCCTTTTATATGAATCGGTTACATCTGTGTAATTCTGTATAAAATCTTACAAAATCAAGAAAGTAGTTGAAAGAGCCACATGGTGAGCTAGTATACAGTGCTATTTTCTCCCATGTGTAGGGTTTTTGTTACTATGATAGTTGATGTTGAAAAAATTTAATAGATTAGAATGATCTGTACTTTCAGATTTTCTGGGGTTTTTTGCTTGGTCGATCGAAAAGTTGGCAAAGTCGACAGAAATATGTAATCTACATGCACACTCTGACCGAGGCTCTATTCAACTTCGTTAATTTTCATTCTAAAACTGACTATAGCTTTCACATGGGAATGACATGTCTTATTTCATTTATAAAAAGATTCCTTGCTACTCTGCAGAACCATTGACTATATATCCATATGTAGTCAATGGCAGAACGTAGTCAACTTGCATGCATGACCAGGAGATATTAAATTACGACAGGAATTTCTTACTGATTTTAATTTGTTAGGCCTTAAATAACTAACATAAACAAAAGTCTTTTACTTTTGTTTATGTTAGTTATTTAAGGCTTATTTATATGTATTAAAATAGTATAAAATTACCTGATTCCGTCTGTGATCCTAAATTTGTTGTAGTGAGCAACCGGTTTCAAGGTTATAACCTCATCATCAAGCATGACTTTTGAGTCATGACAAAACGTCTGCCTGTGCCGCGTCGTGTGTGGAACCACAGCCACCTGGTGGAACTATAGTTACCGAATTTATGTTTATCGTCTGCAGTATGTTTCGTGTTATATTTATTTAAATGTTAATGTCTTTGTGTGTTCTTAAAAACCGGCTGCTCACTACAACAAATTTAGGATCACAAACGGAATCAGGGAATGTTATACCATTTTTATATTCAATAAGTGATCCCGGACCAAAGAACATCAAAACAAATTTCTCTGTCAAAAAATATCAGAGTATTATATTGCTTATATTTATATGTAAAAGTTGTAATTAACCTGTGAAACCTTGGAATTTCATATTTATATTAGTTATTTCTAAAAATAATAAATTAGTTTTGAAACTTTTTTATGCTGAACCCCATAAGTGAAGAAAATATCAACTCGAAATTTATTTTGCCTGATGATTACAAGTATAACTTCTTAAAGTTTTGCATGACAACTAACTAATGTTCTATGTAGAATAGTGGTCTCTATAAGTTGAACTAAGGCTTAAACACTACTTCCATTTGATGATTTTTTTATAAAAAATTACAAGCATGTAGGTTATGTTGTTCAAAGGTTTATTGCGACGTTTCGCGGTCTGGAATCTGATCCCGTCCTCAGGTGAAAAAATCTTAACTAACACATTACAACTAACAATACACAAATTCCCAACCTAAGTTGGAATACACTACAAGGGTAGCAGTCAAAAAATATTAGTTTGTTTAAAATATTAGTTAGTTTGTATTGTTAGTTGGTATGTGTTAGTTAAGATTTTTTCACCTGAGGACGGGATCAGATTCCAGATCCCGAAACGTTGCGTATTGTTTTTTTACCATCGTGATGGAAAATGTCCGCAATAAACCTTTGAACAACATCAACTCACCATCACCAACAATGAACTTCAAACAAAGAATGTAGGTTATATCCTAAAATTATACATATAATTATAATTAGTGTTAAATTAAACTGTACAAATTACTAACAACATACCAACTCATTCTGTGATGAATCAAACAAACGATCCATCTCCATTAAGATCGTTATATTCTCGACAGGCTCTTTTGTTTACGATCAATCCTGATGCTAGCCCCTGAGGTGATACTTCAAACCAAACTTTTTACTTACGAAATGTGAGTGCACACATTTTATCAGATTCTGATCCCTTATTACTAGATGAGTTAAATCGAGGTTTTATGACTTAAGTTTAAAAGATTTTACTACTTAATTTACATTTTACTCCTACACATTATAGTAAATAATCGTATATTGTATAAGCTATCATTGACTCTGTCTAAGATTGGGAAGAGGATTGAGTAATTCGGTAAACGTACAACAGTAATTGAGCATGTAAAAAAGTTATGTAAACAATGTAATTAGAAACCATTTCTCCATAACAGCCTATAAATCATAAGGATGTTGGTTTGGTTCTAAGAGTAGTCAATAGCGTTTATGGGTGAATTATTGATGGGTTTAAACTAGAACCAACTGTACTGTTTTTTTTAATAAATGATCCTGGCTAAAGAAAAAGCTGATCTTAAACTAACACGTCTACATAAAGTATCTTGCTCGTATCTACACTCATCCCTCTCTCATATTTGGGTTTAAATCACGCAGTCGCGTTCCTATCATAATTGATAATATGGTTATAATCATGACCAGCTAGCTTAAAATCCATGATCATATGGTACTTAGGAACCATACCATCTTGATTCGAAGCCTCTGGTTTAAATTGAGGACATGACCGAAGGAGGCATAGCATTATCTCTTAGTTGAAAATCATTTGGGATTTTTTGGAGCTGACTGCAGATCTTTAGGATAGGTGCTTCGTGTTTTGACCACTATAGTAGATGGCTGTACCTGTGATAGCTACTTATACTCTTCTGTGATAGGTGTCTTGTTTCTCTACCCGTTACACGCATTGCCTTACACTAACACTATGGTATACTACTGACTGGTAGGGGGGATGGCCCCTGGGAGGGGTTGTGGTGTTCCAGAAGGAGGTACGTAGCAGCGGGCGTCGCTGAAGTCCCATGAGAACAGCCAGAAGTCCCGGTCGTGTACAAAGTCGTACCCCGGTCTGAGATCCCGTAGCTCGATAGCACTCAGTTCACAAGTAGTACCCCTGCCACACACAAGTGAAATAGCTGTATGAAATCAATATATCACAGAGTTAGGCAATTAACCTAAAGATACTGAAGTAGACATTCCAACTGTTGCAATTTTTTATTAACTGTCAAAATGGGGTTTCTCCTTTACTTTTCAATACTCTGATAATTGATATAACGTAAAACATGCTAAACAATTAATTGACGTTCAATTTAGCTTGGTTAAAAAGTTAGCATATTTGATAGAAATTAGTAAATTACATCAGTAGACTCTGTTAGTGGCTCATCTCAATTGCATCCATCGTTATTCTAAAACTGGATACAGAGTAACATGGGTATTGTTGGGTTTGTTCTCTCCTTGGAAAATTTATGTATATTTAATTCAAAGAATATTTCTAGTAAATCCTTAATTTCAAACACGGAACGTATCTTAAATAAAATTATTGTTTAGAATTTCAAACAAATACTTAATAATATGAACGTAAATAAATATTTAATAAAATTTATATGAGTCACCATTAACTTAGTTCGTTATCAAACATGTGGTGGACACGCAATGTAATGTGTGCTGTAATGGAATTTGTTTAAACATACACGTCATACCAACCATCGAAAATTCATTATCATAGGCGTGGTTGTAATGAAAAACCTTAATTATGTACTAGGTCATATTGTGCAGAAGCCAAGTGTACCAGCGAAGTGTAACAAGCTTTCGACGAGTTTGTTGACGAGACAACAACGTCTATAGTTTATTCGAGATTCAATATATCCATTTTGTATTTAAATATCTCTATTTTCGTATAAGATGAACATCGAAACAACATCCGAAGTAAACCAAGATCAAAAAACATTTAATAAAGAGATAATGAGAAGGATGATTCAACAAGAAGATGCCATGACAAAAGTTTATTCAAGCTTAAAACCCCTGCTGTCTCACAATCCTGTAGTACTTGGATCTACAAGCCAAGTTGAATCAGAAATATTTGACAAAACTACAACGGTTCATATTGATGAGCATGATCATTCAATGCTTGATGGTAACTATTCCCCGCAAATGCACATCGCAACAGAATCTGTTCTCCAAGTTCTCCAAGATCAAAAATATTTTAACGAAGAGATCATGAGAAATGTGACTCAACTAGAAGATTCCATGAAAACAGTATTGTCAAGCTTAAAAACCCTGCAGTCGCACAAACCTGCTGAACCTAAGTCTACAAGGCAAGTTAATTATGACATTGTCGAGCAAACTAGTAAGATTTCTACACACGAGTGCAATCATTCACTTTATGATACAAAAGGTTTCCCACACACATACTTTCAAGAGTTGATTCAGTCATTGAGTCTACCAGGCATGAAGTTTCTCGTAGGGAAGAACCAGTCTTGGTTTCATACTTGCTTGTGGTTGTTTGTTCACATTCTTGCTTTATTAACAAGTTTGTCTCTTATCAAGATAGAGTACGACAGATGGCAAAACTCGCCCGCTTTTAAAGTATTTTCGAGCAACGTAACTTATGCCAATGATGTTCCATTTCCCGCAATAACTGTTTGTTACCCACCAACTCTTAACGTCAACCACAACTACTCAGGGATTCTGGAGAAATGTTTCCTGTGTGAGTACGATGAATGTGAAATCAATGAAGAATGTAATGACGATGAGATGATGGCTTTTGCTGTTTCTTTGTTGATTTGTTCAGAGTTTGTGGCAAATAAAATAGTGTTTAGAAGACGCTCTATTAGGTATGACCAGTTTTCATCCTACCTTGAACATTTTTTTGACCTTGATGAGGTTTACATATACCATTCCCGGATAAATAGTTTGACATGGAAGCGGAAAACAGGATGCGATGAAAACTAATGCCAAAAGTGGTTATCGCCCTTAGGTATGTGTTTTACTATCAATGGTCTCCACCACGAGGATATTTACAAAGAAAATGTTGTTACTTCTTTCCCCATGAAACAGTATTCTTCCTCTGGGTTTGATTACTTAGGAAAACACTTGACTTTGGACAATATGATATATTTCGGAGGAAACATGAGTACGACACCAGTATATACGACTGAGAATGACGTGATTCAGTTTAGTAGTGTAAGTAATACCCTACACATACACAATACAACTGCAAAACATTGCTTAACTAATGACAGCATACAAAGCTACATTGTAATCCACAATCCACTAGAAATCCCTTTCACCTTTAAAAATCATATCAAAATGGACGACTCCACCCCAAAAAAAATATCTATACTTCCCAACATTGTTACTTCAGAAAGTGGCCTTGAACAGTTTGATCCATCTGTTAGAGGGTGTTACTTTACACATGAGAAGCCGCTGTCAATGTTTAAACATTACAGTCAGATGAACTGTGAGACAGAATGTCTTGTAAACTGTTCACTCACATACTGTGGCTGTGTCCCGTATCACTTGCCTAGACACAACAGTTCTGTAGAGATTTGCTTGTATAGATGCTTTCGAACGTGTGACTGCAGTTGTTTGCCAGATTGCAACTCTTTGTCTTATGATTTTGAAGAGACTGTTGTGGGTGAAGATCCATGGTATGCACCATTTATCGTAGTCTACTTCAAACGAAATAGATTCTACGACTCCAAGATCCGAGTCAGTACAAATAGCCTGACTCAGTTCATGGCGTATTCTATTGGTATTGTTGCAGTTTTCAACGGTTTTAATGTCTTAGTTATCTTTGAATTGCTATACCTTTTGACATTCAAGCTATGGAGCTATGTCAGGAGCCTTTTACTTTAATTTATGTATGGATGAAAAGAGTTATCCTCGTTTTTAAAATATATAACATTTAAAAATACAACAGAATTGTAAAAACATTTATTCGACATTTTTATTTTATTTGCATAGAACCTTTACACTTCAAGAGCTTCAAATATGTCAAAGTTGCATTTTTGTGTTTATTTTCATATTTGACATTATTCACTTTGTTTTGAAGTTTATAATTAGTGTTTATTTGTATGAATGTGGCTTCCTACAAATAAACACTAATTATAAACTGCAAAACTAAGTGAATAATGCCAGTCATAAACATGACAAGATTCGTCTTAATTTTGAAAACTATATATATTGCAGATTATTCTGGCCATATATTGGATGCCTGATTTTATCAATAGTAAAAGTTTATTTCTAATTATACTACAGTTATTACTACCAATTAGTAAAACGTTATACCTACTTTTGTATGTCACTGACTATAGGGTGAATCAGACCACCTATGCACATACTTTAACAGCCGCTTGTGTAACTCACTGATCAGGTATACAAAAGGTTTACCCACTTCTAGAATAGCTATTCTGAATAGCTAGGGATCTGAAATTTTTTTGTGGAGGTCCGTTTCAGTCCCAAATCACCCAGAAAATTCCAAAAAGTTCTTTTTTCAAATTACAACCCCCCCCCCCCCCCCAAATTCCCTTGAATCCTCCTTTATTAGAGAAAACCCCGTTTAAAAAAACCAGCTATACCTCGAAAACGGTAAGAGCTAAGATTTGAATGAATTTTCACAGTTAGGAATTATATTTTCTACAAGGCACTCTTTGGCATTTTTTGAAAATCGCACTCCTTCACATTCAAAAACGCCCTTCTAGAATATGTAAAATGTCTTGGATTATTGACGTGTTTTTTTATTTTTTTTTTTTTATTACTTTTTGGACCTCAAACGTCCCTAACCTGACATATTGAAATTGTAACCCACAAAAACATTTTAAATGGCAAATTTTCAATAAAAAGGTCGTTGGTCCAAATCGTTGTGCACGGGTGTCTGATTCACCCATTATTCACCCATTTAACCATTAGTTAAACTTATACCACTTATCTTTGAATATTCTTCTCCATTTAATATGCATCGTTAAATAAAATACTTATCAACTGATGAATTCACCTACATATTTACTTTCACAAAAAACTTGTTCATATGAGTTCACCACGGTTCGAACCGTAGGATCAAATAAAATGGTTTTAATTATTTCAAACCATCAATTCTACTGAGACACCCTCATAGATCAAATTCCTAAAGGTTTTTTTATTGGTTGAAAGACATACTATATGGTTCATCTTTTTAGTTTCTATGTGAATAATGAAAAAAAAAAACTATCACATTACACAATAAAAATCACATTATGTAACTACACACTGCTGTCAATAGTATGTTCTTTTACAAACGTTTAACACTTGTTTATGGAAATAAAACCTACAATCTTGATATAGATAAAACTAACTATCCATCAACTTTAGGAGCGTTATATTCTAGAAAGCCTATTTTATTTAGATCAATTCTGATCCTAGCCCCTGAGGTGATACCTCAACCCAAACTTTTTACTTTCGAAAAGTAAGTGCAAACGTTTTTTTTCTCACTATTTGATATAATACTAACTTCTATACAACATTGATCAGTTCCAACAACAGTGATTCAGTTTGATCAGTTGAACAGTTGATCTGATCGATCACTATCGAAAATGGAAGAAAAAGGTTTCTCATTTTATTATTTAACCTTCATTGATGAAAAGAACCTATCGATTTTACATAGACACCACCATTCGATTGGAATCCAAGAAGTTTGATTAGTGGTTGAATGACATTAGTTTTTATTTATTACTGTAGCTTTCATTCAAATTATTATCAAAACTAACACATTTCACAAATTAAAATCATATAAAATTACATATAGCCTGCTAATAGTTTGTATTGCACAGTATGATGTACAGTGTTTTTTATCTTTCTTTGGGGGTTCTTACAAAAAGTACATTTAAAGGTGTCACAATATCCTATACATGCTCACCTAAGACCATTATGCTTGGTAAGCAATTTTTATTTTATCATACATTATTTCATAGAACAGTAACATAATTAAATTTATATAAATATACTAAATTAGTAATAAACAGCATTGGTTATTATTTACAGACCTTATACAGGGTGTTTTTTAACGTGCAACCCAAAATAAAAGTACTGTGAGACACAAAACATTTTAAACATAAAACAACCCTGTATTTTGGTGTCCCTGTTATCTTTACTTCCTTGTCGATCAGCTGATATGCGTTGTTGCATAGCTATCTATGAGGTTTAGTGTTATTGGGAATTTTTTACAAATAAGTCAAAACATGGCGTTTCCCCATTTCGAATAGTTAGAATAGTACGTTGAAAATTCACCATTGGTTTTATGGCAACAAAGGTTTGAAATTCGGTTTCCTTAAATTTGTACATGCCATTAATATTACAAATTTAATTAAACTTAATCGGCTGTAAAAAAATACCCCGATCACAGCAAACCTTCAGACTAAGCCAATTTTCATTTGCTTGATTTGATTTACACTTAAATCTAGAGATTTAATTTTCCTTAAATTTCGATTCGGTTTCCTTATATTTGTATTTTTAATATTAGTTGCTTTATTATGTACTGGAAAATCACCTAGGAACTTAATTACAAACCCTTCTTGGCATAAAACCAATCATTTACTTTCAACGTATTATTATAAATCTTTGAGGTTGGGGAAACGAGGGGTTGCGTCGTATTTACAATAAATTCCCAGTTACACTAAACCTCATATAAAACTATGCAACAATGAATATCAGCTGATTGACAATGAAGTAAAGAAAACAGGGATACCAAAATATAAGGTTGTTTTGGCATTAAAATATGTCTCATGGTACTTTTAATTTAGATTGCGAAAAAACACTCTGTATATTAACGACGCTGCTCTTGAATTCTAAACCCGTTGAACTTCAAATATAAACACAATAATAATACTACAATCGTTAAAGTTATTGTATATTATCTCCAATTTTAGTCAATAATTGTATATAAACGTTTGGAAATGTAGCGTAGGTAATCAATATTGGATTTATTTAATTAATAAAAGCAGCCTAAATAACAATTTACACAATACCAAATACATAACATTAATGAAGATAGATGAATGAAACCTGAAACAAGGTATGGTGTGATGTAAAAGATTTACAGCATTCAGATTTTAAAAATTCACTAAATATGTTTTCATCGTATAACGTACGCCTCCGAACAAATATGATGTATGATATGTGAGGGAAACATGGCAAACGGCGTGTTAGAGATTGATTACGGCTCGGATGCAAACATTGATGCTGCTCATTTTTAAACTGTATTTTCTTTCAATTCCCACGATGTCCTAGAATATAATAAATTCTAGGGAGTGAAACAAGTCAGTACCAATGTTTTAATAATATAAAACACACGCATACACACGCACACACACACACACACACACACACACACACACACACACACACACACACACACACATATGCATAGTAATTTTGTAGACATTTATAAAGTTTAATTTTAATCAGCCAATTTTTTTTACATAGAATCAAATTGGACTGCTGTTGAAAACAATTCGTGTAACCATTTAAAAAAAAGACTTGCAGAGAATGTCAAAATACTAAAATGGTGTAAGTACCTAGTTTGAGTTGGCTACTCTAGGTACCATAGTCATTGATTGTGTCATATACTTGGATAGAGGAAAACAGTTAGTTGATATTAGAGATCGTTGTTCTATAGATGACATTATGAGGGTTGTTTTAAGTGTTAGGAAGAGATCATAAGGCGGTTGTTAAAGTATGACCCTTTCCTCCTGAGATGGTTAGATTTTCGTGTCTGGTGAGCACTGGCAAAGAGAAAAGTCCACTCTTCTTAATTAATACTGTATCAAGCTTTAACGCTAAGGTATTCTAAGCATTTGACACTTTCTTAAGCTTGTTTACAACAACATTTGTCTACGGTAACAGTAGCGAGGATAGCGAATATTAAAATTAAAGTTGATTGTGGTTTAACTGAATTTTCAAGTACTATAGGAAAAGTGAATTATTTGTCAAAAGTATTTCACTATAGTCAAATCTCACAACTGATACCGAAGCATTGTTAGTTGCTTGTGAGATAAATATTGATCAATTCATTGTGTCATATTGTGTTCTAGTGAGCCAGTATTTTTTACTACGGTATCTTAGTATTATTTCTTACGTTGCGAATGAACCTCAACATTAAGCAGAGTATGAATTTGATTCTAGCAAGGTTAGAACTTTTCAAACATTATTAATTAGTTGTACATTATCAACAGTTTCGGGGCTGAAATTATTGAGGTTGGATTGATGATTGAAATGAAAATTTATGCTGGTAGTTGAGTATTAATTTGGAAATGATCATTGGTTTGGTATGTTTGAAACTACTCGTAGTACCTGTTACTTATATAAAAATGTATTGAGTTTGATTTTAAAAATGTCTCCGAAAGATGGAATTGAGCAGAGTGATTTCGTAACAGTCTTCTTCAGAGTGCAAGTCAAGAGTATTTTATCTGCAATCAAGACTGAAGACTTAAGTTGCACACCATTACTAACCTGTAGCTCAAAGATGCGCAGCGGAATATGGATCGCATGCGTGCTCGTGTACATTCCGCCCGACACTGGGCTTCTGAGGTGACGTAGAGAGAGTTGTGGATGGATTTGGGCAGAAGTCTCGCTGGGTAGTTGTAGCTGACGTAGCAGACTGAAACAATATTCTCAGATATTAGTAGCACAGTACAGATTTTCTTAATTATTTAAACAACAAAGGCCTCTTCCGAAGTGCATCGATTTCAAACTCTCGCTAGAAGTGAGTTTAAAAGCATGTTTACGTATTTCAAAGACTCTTTAATACGACTTTGACATCAGATTGTTTGGAAATTCAAATGTATTTATTTTTTTACATTTTTCTCCTTCTTTAGAACAAAGATGCCTAAATCTACTATTTCTACGGCGGTTTGTGGCAGGCACTTGAACAACTTGAAACAAAGTTATTGGCATCGTACTCAAAAACTCTAAATGTAATGAAAAAAGGTAAATTGCTTTATAATCTACGAAGTACTATTTTGATTGCTTTTATATTTGGTTGTCTTTGTTTTTATGGTTCGTAGACCACGAGCTTTTTTTGTTTATTAGGCAGAGCGAACCTGATTGAAAAAAATAAAAAAGAAGAGTTGTTTGAACATAACCTCTCACTGAGCCCATGCATGCATTCTCACAAAGCAAATAATAATACTAATTTAATAGCTTATTTTTCCCCTAACGTATATTTACAATTATGTGCTGTGTTCTTTAAAATTCATAATTCTAATTATCGTCAAAAACTGATTTAAAAGCCATACTACTTCAGTTATTGTATTGGAATTCAGTAACCATTGATGTTCTTCTGCCTGTGCGAAGTAATTAACTCATCTTTGTAAGTCACTTTTCATTAACGTTTATAAACATGATGTTGCTCTGATTGGTGAAATGAAAACGCAGCAGCGAATAATGCAAATACTGTTGAACAACGTTTCATAAATTCAACATTCAATTCAGTCATAATGTATGATTTGCCGTTAAACTTTCTATTCACTTTACACTTTCAGTGTTTTATATTTGATCAAAATGTATATGTAGCTACTTTATATATAATAATGCTATGAGAAAATAACTATAAGGTAATGTATTTAATTATTTTTGACTTTGTAAAAAGCCATACAGCGCATGGACTTTTCAAGCTATGTTAGTAAAGTCCAAAACTACGCAGACACATAATTGGCTATGGATTTTGATTAAAACTAATCGGGTTACTCTTTTTATCAAATTAATTGATAGGAATATTATAAGGGAGGCTAGATATTGAAAAAAATTATATAATCCGCTAGTACACGGTTTGGACAGTTCTTAAAAATCAAATAGAATAAATTAACCATTTTTATTCGTGTGTGTAGGCCCCGCATAGTATTGCAAATAGTTGCAAATAGATATTAACTCCATTAATATTATGACGGTTTCTCATATCGGTGAATGCTATGAAAACCAAGGATCCGTATTACCTTCGTACGAATCAAAAGTATAAAGGTATTACATTAAATGCTAAATTTGAAAATTTTCATCTCTTGTTGTAAAGGTGATTCTCTTCTAGAAAGGATTTCATTACATAAAGCTAACCAATGCCATAAATATTTATAATCGAATTTCAGAAGGGATGAGATAAAACAACTACAATTAACCTGCCGCGTTCAAAGTGAATTTTAATGACCTCCCACTGATGAAAGGCTTTGAATAATTCGCTAAGTGTTTTCAGATGATTACTTTCACTTAAAAGCGTTGTTTAACATTCAAAATTCTGCCTAACAAAGCACGTTACTCGAATTAAAGTGTATTCCAGAAGCTTTTCATGTAAATTATCCAGCCTTAAAATTTGAAATGAACATGTTGTTCTCATAGAACACATTTTTGCGACATTGAAGGTAGAATTTGTTTGAAGCCATCTGCCTTCATTCAAAGTACTTTGAATTTATATTCTCTCTGTTTCTGGTTTTACCTTAATCCCTAACAGTGTTATTGAGTAGTGCCAGAATATATCCTACTTCCCAAAATATAAGTTACAAAAAAACTATTTAAAAATAATTTCAATTGTCCTGTTTCTAAGTACAAAGGCTAAATAACTATTTAAATTGTAAAATTCCCAAATAATACTTTTACTTAGTCCCATTTTATACCTTGGATAGTTTCTGAAATTGTTCCATGTAATTTCATCCTCAAACACATCAAAAAGTCATAAAAAAATATTCACATACAGGGTGATTGATATAAGTGTGCGAGCCGTTTTATTCGAAAACTATAAGAGATATCAAAAAAAGTTAAATGGTAAGTGCCTTGGATTTTTTATTTAAAAAATTGTAGTCAAGTCAAAAATAAAAGTTTTGCCGCCATTTTTCCAATATGGCCGCCAACTTTGATTTTTCTTATAGAATATCCTGTATTTTATGATGTATTCTGGTAGAACATGTGATTTTAAGACGAATTTATTCTTGTGATTTTTTTCATAAACCTAACCGTTTCAAAGATAATAATGGTTAAAGTTTTGAAATTTTTGCATGAGAAAGAGTTTCGATACAGGCCTAAGCAAGCATGCCAGCTGTTTTATTCGAAAACCATTCAAAATTTCACAACTTAAACCATTATTATCTTTGAAACGGTTAGGTTTATGAAAAAATTTACAGGAATAAATTCGTCTTAAAATTACATTTTCTACCAGAATACATCATAAAATACAGGGTGTTCTATAAGAAAAATCAAAGTTGGCGGCCATATTGGAAAAATGGCGGCTAAAATAATTTTTTCGACTTAACTAAAATTTTTTAAATAAAAAGTCCAAGGCACTTACTATTTAACTTTTTTTTTATATCTCTTATGGTTTTCGAATAAAACGGCTGGCACACTTATATCAATCACCCTGTATATAAAACTTACAGTCATCAAGCGGCCTAGAGGTCAGTCCTGAGGTGTCTCCATATGCGGAGGGTGGAAGGTATACCCCAGCTCCGGTACCAGACACTCCGGTAGGCCTGCCCCCATACCAAGCCTGGGACGATGTAGACACCTTCCCCCCGCCACTGGGTCCGGAGTGGTCACCGTAGTACAGGGAGTTGCCAGGGGCGGTGCCGTAACTGGGGTACTTGTTGGGACGGTAGACCGGGGGTATACTCTGGGGCCTTCCCTGTACCTGAGGCCATCGGTCCAACTCACAACCGTGGCCGTAGCTCGCCCTGTGGTACAACTCGCACCCTGCCTCGTCCACCAGGTGCTTCATAGGGTTCATCTCGGGCACAGGCCAGTCAGTCAGTCTGCAGTTCTCTTGGGCTTGGCCTATAACTGGAGTACTGTACCTGCAACAATTCGCTTACAACTTAACTCGATTGGATACATTGTCTTTTTGAAAATTTTCTTTTCTAATAACTGGGGTTCCAAAATAATTTTTCACACACATAATTTTGCCATGTTTTACTATTCATTGAGTTGTAATATTGCTTTCAGGTATAACAGAATAATTTAACAGCAGCTATTTTTAGTAGTATTATAAATATTTAAGGTGAGTGCAGTGTAAAAAATGAATTAAATATTCGGATTTAAAATTGGTTTAACACTCGAACTAATAAGACCCGTTTTCTTATTTTCTCACGAGCAATAAAACAGAACACCGATTTATTTTAATTCAATTTTTACTATGGTGTCAAAATATTTCTTAACATCAATATTTCTTCTAAGAAAAACAATTTTTATTGGTGTATATTGCAAAATTCGCATTTTAACCCTTGGGAATAAAAACTTTCATAAAAAAGTATTCAAAAATCTATTATCACAGATTTTATTCAATCACTTATTATGGTTTTGAAGATGTAATTTAAAGGCAGAGGAGGGCAATGAATATTTATCCTCCCTTGTCCTGATATATGGTAAACCTCTTAAGGAATCCAGACTGTGTCCTTAGGAGGTTTAAAGTGCTATTTCTAGCATGTTTTAAGTTAAAAGGGATATTTACAAAATGTTTTTATGGACAATAAGTAATAAAGGTAATCATAAATTTATCACATTTTGTAATGTATCTACTCTTTAGGTCAATTATTAAACTTACTCATTATAAAACGGACCATCTTACGACACAAATCCCAAAGACATACTTTAGTCTCTTAGTGAAATTATAATATAAGTTAGCCAATGTCAATGTTATATTGTGATTAGTAAAGGTTGACTATGTTTAACCTTCGGTCCCTTACCCCTCGTGATAAAAGTTACCCACCGAAGTACCAATTAGGTTTAAAAAAGTTGCAATGGGATTTCTAGCTAGCTCTAGACGCACCCGGTCAAATTCCTGACAAATCCTACCATCTATGTTTAAATATTGTGAACCAGGAAATAATTGTAAATCTTACACATAACTGTTCAGTATTCAGTAGCTGTAAATAGGTTATTATTTTTATCAAATTTATTTCCATTTAGTAGATTTAGACCTCAATCTAAGGAAAGTTTACCTGAAACTGAAGGCTCGGCAGGTGAAGAACCTGGACATGAGGCAAGCTTGTTCACACTCCTGTAGTGAGTTGACTCTCACAGCAAGTCTAGTCATACCAGAATGTAGGCCTAGGCCACTCCTTATCCTTTCAAAGCAATCTGAAATAAATAAAAGCAGTAAATAGGAAAGTAGGCTCAAAATAGGACACTTCTGTTTTTTCTTGCATGAATAAAATAACCATAAAAATAAGTTCAAAAAGTGAATACATTGTTGGATTTTAATTCAAGAAACTGTAACTACGCCCAATGTCCATTGTAACCGTAAGGACCTTCATGTGTCTGCATACGCAAATATTCTGTGTTGACTTAGTAGAACTTCATTTTCCAATATAAATATAGACATTTTCATCCAACAATATAAGATTTTCGAGACATCTAAATACAAAATCTACTTCATAATCCACAACAGGGGTTATTAAATATTTCAAAACTTTAGAGCGTGTAGAAAATTGAGAGTATACACTTAGGGTCACAGGTATTATCAAGGAAAAACGTAATAGTAATTATTTATAAATGGGTGGTAAAATAAAAAAAAATATATTGAATATCACAGTTTCTAAATAAATCATGCTGTGCACAGTGCAGTGCATGGTGCTTAAGTATATAGACTGATGTTGGCTTATTTGCCATGTTGAATAAGTGATCATCGCCAACTATCAAAATACAGTTTTTTGGTACATTATGTGTGTATTTAGACTTTTAGAATGAGAACAACGATAATGTGTTATAAGTAAATTAGAACATAATAAGTTTCATTTTAACAAGAAACTTAAAGTGGAAATAATTTGATGAAACCTAGAACAAATTCATTAAACTTTGTTCAACACTTTGTAATCACTTATATGAGTTGAATTGTAAGGTATTGAAAATCAATTCAATTGTAGTCCAACTCCTGAAAAAATAAATAATGTAGAAACATCATTATAAACATATCGACATATATTTGTACACAAATATTGATAACATAAAAGCATCTCTTTGTAGGATTTATTTTCAAACATAGTTTCCAACTAGTTCATCTATGCAAAACACGTGTTTTTAGCTTATTAAAGTAGTCTGCATTATTATAGGGGTATAGGTATAAAACTCCAATAAAAAAATAAAATGGTCTCTTAAAGTAAAATTGTTTGGCTCCAAATTGTATAAAATGTAGTACAAACATTGAAACTACAATCAGATAATATTTTAAAAACAAATATCATGTTTCGTTTTTTCTTTTATAAACTAAAGCAGTAAGAAGGAGGTAATGCCCCCATTGATTAAGCTTTGAGAGCTAGCTTAAAGGAGTGTGTGGACAGTCTAGCTGTTAGTTGCTCAGACTTCAGTACGAGTGGTGCGGGTTCAATTCCCATCACATCCATAAATATTTAAAAGGTGTAGACCGATTTACTTTAAAAACTTTTTGGCGATTCGTTCTTACACAATTTTAGTGGAGTAGAAAATAACAAAAAAAATCTTATTCGATTCCCAAAATCATTTGAGAATGTTATAAAATATTTCCTGATAGCTTGGTATATACCGCTGCCGAAGGGACGCTGGGGACGGCACCCTTGACGGCCGTACTCGTTTCTGGCGTAGATGTCAAAGTCCCGGTCAGGCACGATGTCCGTGTACAGGTCGAGAGCTCTGAAGAGACGCTCGCCTAGCTGGCAGTTGTCACCTGGCAGGCTCGGCCCTTGGCTGTACCTGTAGGTGGGACATTACACACTAGGATAACACGGCGGTTGCCGGAATTATACCCCCTTGGAATTGTACTCCCATCTTGACGTCACGCATGGGGTTGAATAATTGTACAGTAATTCCTGCTAGTCTTATAACAGAATCTACTTAATGTTGACAAGATACCAGTGAACCGGATTATTTTAAAATAAAAGGAGCCCTATACGGCCCGGAATTGTAGCACCTGGATTTGTACACCCTGCCAACATCAATCTTTGTGTTCGTACGTACAGAATGGGATTATACGGCCTGAAACGTTTTACCTCATATCAGAAAACCAAAATAATGAGCACGGGCTGGGATTATAAAATCCCTGAAAATCCCCGGGCTCCCTGAAAGTAAAATCTCCAATCTTTTGTCGATAACTTATTTGTATCATTACAATGAAGCAGTAGCGAATACCCTCTAAGGTGTTAAAGATTGGTGCGACCTTTAAGCCTGTACAGAAAATACTGATTGCTTTAAAAAATATAATCGCAAAGTGATTAATCATGTTGATTTCATGGTTTTTATCAATTTCATTTCACAATCCTAATAGTGAAACTTTCCAAATTTTTATTAAATCTTAAACCACAGTGTGTAATTTTCTTTAAAAGGGATTGTTCATAACAAAAATTAATAGGTTTTCAATACTTACATGTTTAAACCCCCAGCTGTATGTTTAAAAAATATTATTTGACTTATAATGCCTTTATGTGTCCTGTTCTTTATTTTACGCATACTTAATCTTTAGAAGCCCTGAGTACAGATCACAAAGGGAGGTCAAGAAAGAGAGTAGAAAATACCTTCCCTTCGGCATACATATAGGTATTGCTGCCAATTTCTGTGCATCAGTAGAAGCCTAAGTCAGATTGGGGGTACAATTCCAGGGGAGTAAAATTTTGGAAGTTTTTTTTGTTATGCCTGTTTTGATGGTTAAGCCACTCGTCCATACAAAAGTTTTATAATAAGGTACAATTCAGACCCGTACAAAACTACGTATGTCATCCTGATGAAACTTCCCTGGGTGGGGTACAATTCCACCACCCCTAACACTGTACGTTCGGCAACAATAAGGACCACCCCTTAGTTGAAGTCCATTTTTGGTGATGGTAATTTTATTCTATTATTGAGGATTTTTTACATCACGACTACTTAAAATAAAAGATTTTAAGACGTTTTGGCATATGAAGTCTGATCTTGTTCTCATGTGAGAGAATGCCTATATAAAAAGGTGTATAACAAGGTTAAATAACAAGGTGAGTACGCAAACCTAGGTGTTCACTAAGGGGACTTTACAGGAACCACACAGACATCGTTACAGTAGTATCAACCAGAAACAAAACGTTAAAAGATAACTACAATTAGTATCAACCCTTTTAGCCTCTGGATCACATTCATACGAATTGAAAGGCTAAATACTTTTTTTGCTGCCGAATGATCTGGAATTTGTCAGGTGACCAATTTTTCGAACGTAAAAGTTAATTCTCAAACTTAATATCAAGTAGTAGAACGGATCCACCTTATTCCTTGGGTTATGATGGGTCTTCGCAAACACTGACGGAAACACGGACACGAAACAATTTGACAATAATTAGGCAATTCGTAATATTGATAGAGGACATTAGATATAGCTGGCATAAGGTGAAACATGATTATTTTAATATAAAATTGTTATTTAATAATTAGTGCGAATAGAGTGTATGATAACACAGTGGATGTTTGTGAAAGATGGGTCAGATCCAAAAATGAACTTGGTTTTTTTACTAACAGTGGTGGAAGATGGCCAATACCAGATCAGGTCAAAAACAGTTTAATGCAGATTTAATGGCAGCAATGGTAACATATTGCTCAAAATCACATTTTATTAAGTGAAACCAAATGCCACTAACGAATAAAAAATACTTAAATAGCCGTGTTTAATTCAGAATTTGGATTTGTAAACAGGATAGACGTCTATGAGTATTATTCAACCAAGATGTTCTTATTAGGGCCATAAGTCATAACGTGTTGCAAAATATAAACATGTATCATGGCTGAGATGGGTCCAATATTCATATTTTATCTACTATTATTGATTTAACGGCATTTGAAAGCCAAAATAAAAATACAACAAATACTGTTTGAATATAAAAATAACAGAAGATGCTCATGTATCAGACTCTCACAACGCACTCTTCATATAACTTGGTCACAATTGGTACTAGTTTCATGTACTAGCTATTCCTGCTGTTATATTGTCTGACATCACGTATTTTACGTAATAAGTCAAACGATAGAATCTAAAGATTTGCATTAACAGTAATTAAAGATCGAAAATATATTACCAATTATGAAAAGATAATTGGCATTGGACTGGCATTTGATTAGACAATAAAGTGAGGTGTGTACAAATCGTTAAGGATCAAAGCTGTTTGGGTCCTATTTGATCCTCAAAAGTATTCAAGAATTTCTTATAGTATTTTCGACAACATCAACTGACAGTAATACAAACCGATAGCTGAAGATGTTGCAGACGAAGTTCTTCTCGTTGGCACACTCGGTCTCGCAATGGTAGAGGGTGGGAGCTGATACTGTCAGGACCACGATGGACCTCTCTAGACGAAACCCTGGCCTCATCCTCACGAAACATTCTACACATCATACACCACAAAAATGTATACTGTACACCTTATACATCGCTATACACCTCTAAACGTGTTCACCGAGATATGTATACTGTTCATGTTTGGCATAAGGATCAAAGATATTATATGTTTTGGTTGAAAGCGTGACAAATGTAAATTAACGGTTTAGGGAGATCAGGTTATTTGAGTTACAACACAGATTTTTATTGATAATAATCACATTTTAAAAACCCATTTCAGTGGTTGTTTTCTCTATTTTTATGATCAATAATAATTGATTTAGTTCCATTTAACAAATGCAAAATTTTCACCTAATGTTTAAACGTGGTTAAGATTTATCAGAAAATTTCTTAATTTCTTAATCCAATTTGGTTTATGAGGGGGTTTCATTGTTATAAGTTTGTTTTCCTATGATTTCTTTAGTTTAGGTTTTTGTATTATCTAGTTTATATTTAGTCTTACTCAATGTGTTAAAGGCATACGTAAAAAGGATTATCTATTACATTAAAAGTGGTCACCTAAAACATTAATTTATCTCTAAGTTGGAAAGATAGGTTATAAATTACGTTCATGGTTTATTTCTATCTGCTCTGCTCAAAGTATTAATGTTATATTAAAAAGAAACATTATTTAACATTTTAAAATTACATGATGAACTATATTTCATTGTGATTATCCCGAAACTGCAATAATGACTAAATGTTTTTTTATACCTGTCATGCAGTTCCAAAAAGTAATAATTATGTTACATGTTTCGGTGAGATGCCATGGTCAGACACTTCAGTCCAGGGAATAAATGCACTCAACCTGCTTGATTAGCTTAGTAAAAAAAAAAAACTAAGCTAATCACGCGGATTCAATGTATTTATTCCCTGCACTGAAGTGTTTGACGATGGCATCTCGCCGAAACATGTAACATAATTGTTACTTTTGGAACTCCATGACAGGTAATAAAAACCCATTTAGTCAATATCAACATATATTACTATTCGTACCAACGATTGTTTACAGTGCTACAGAAAAACGGTTCCTTTGATTTTGAAACGGAGACACTTACGGAAAACATCAGCCGTTTTTTCAACACTGAATTAGAAGGGTTTTATGCTATCAAAACTGATTTATTATTGAGTTGACATAAGACAGGAAATCATGCTAAACATTTATTTTAATACCGAAAAGGAACCGATCTATTTGACAAAGCTGGATTAATATTTCTACTTCACAATGTTACAATTGACAAAGCATGACACCGCTACGTTAAGTTCGATCCAAGATAGAAGTAAGTTTGGCCGAAGAGAATGTCCGACGGTGACCGGTGACCGGCCGCCACCTCGCAACGGTAGGCCGCTCCTTACCACACAATGGCTCGCAGATCTTTCCCTAGATTTTCACACATCCGTGCACGGGCGTCGGTCAGCCTCTGTCAGAGAGGTTATTAATGCCTATTCCTAACGGAGGAAACTGTTATACAACTGAAATCGGTTAATTGGTAGCGTTTTCAGGTATTTTCCGGAAGAGGGCCGCCATTCATTACAGTGGGTGGTTAGGTTAGGTTAGGCTAGAATATTTTTGCTTATTTTGGTTTATGATGATAAAAAATGTAACAATTACAAAGTTTACTTTTCATAAACACATAAAAGAGAGGACACAAATAAAATGTCCATGCAAATTTTACCATTTATTCAAATCACACGTGATAATTACTTTTGTTGTTTTTGTTATTTTAAATATTAATCATAAACTAACATAACCTAACCTAACTGCCTCATAATAATATAAAGAATTACGGTCCTCTTCTTGAAAAGAGGAACGTTTTCCATATCAATACATATGTTAACTTTGGCCCAAGTAATTCATTTGATAACGCACTAAATATTAAGAAGTTTTGAGAATTTATGTATTAACATTATTTGAGCCCCTGATATAAGACGTATTGCCACTGGGAAACGAAGTAATCTCACCAGCGTTATTTATTCTCTGTGAATCCAACGGAACTGTTTGAATATTCCCGTCTTCCTATCGAGTTTATGATGCAAATTTTATGGGTAACGTTATATTTTAAAATGTCGATATTGCATCTGCATGTTCTTATCGGTAACGTCTGTAGATTTTAGTTGTCGATTTACAAAACGTATCTCAATGCATATACAAAATTAAAAAACACTTTTTTGTATATCTTTTAAAAATTTATTTTCTTATAGGTTTTGGTTGTTGTTGTAAATTATTAAATGAAACCGTTAAAAGAACTTTTAAAGTGGTTTATGCAGATGATTATCCTATTTCAGGAATTGATATAATTTTATACTATACACTTTATGTATTACCAAAAGTTTACTAAATTTTAGTTTAGATTTATTTATTGCAATTATATGTTTAATCTCTGAAACATAACTAACTATTTATTATACATTGCAAAATCTTTGCTGTTTATCAAAATATAAAGCAATAAGTACTTTGTTTAACTTTGAATGCCATCTAGTCATATAATTTAAAATCTAAAGGTAGTTTTTCACTTGTAAGGAATATATAGAATTAGGGTTATGAATGGGAATTTTACTAACCAACCGAACTGAGTGAAAGGTAGTGTGTTTTTCTTCCTTCAATGGAAATCAATGAGAAAGATCACTGAACAACTTTTGTGGTGTGTTATTAATCCGGATTCTGTTATTGAGGTTTATTTAATAAAAAAATTGTACCTAAATAAATAAATAATGTTATACAAGGAAGGACAATTTTACGCATCTATAACAATTTCCTTCATTTACGATATTCACGCTAATTTACGCTATGTACAATACCCTTCATAATTCCATACATCACTTAAAGGTTTTTAAGTGAGAGGAGCAGATTTCTAAAGTTAAAAATATTAACCATGAATATCAGTTATAGATACTAACAACAAATAATCACAATGTTGACAAAAATTTAATTTAAAAAGAGTCACTCCTAATACACTACAAAAACTATACACTTATGGCTAATGTCTACGCTTACACATTACTAGGTACACACATATACTTGGTATCGGTAGATACATTATACATTTTGCACAGCCCGCTACAGTGGGTGAGCTACAAGCCGACCAGCGTCTACTTAGTCTACTTACATCTACTTTACAATACTTGGCGAGAGTATACTGACCATCGCTGGATGGATGGCGCATGCTATAGCCCCCAACACCATAGCCCCCATAGCCCCCCATAACCCCATGTAAGCGTTGCGAGCCGTATTGAGTCCACGGGCGGAGTCCACTCCATGGTCGAGTGCAAGACTTCGGAGCGTTCCTGTCGCGCTCGAAGAAGTCGTAGTCTCGGTCAGCGTTGAAGTCCATCGTTGGGTCCAGATGGTCAGAGGGCACAGAGGTCAACTGGCAACTGCTGCGACCTCGCCCGGTACCGTCGAACCTGAATGTCAACATAAATATATAAATGAATCAACAATGGCAAATGTAAAACAGGTCTTTTTCTAGGTAAAGAAGTCTATACAGTTTACGACGAAATTGTATTAAACAAGTTAAACAATTGTGGATTTAGAGGAGTTGCCCAGAATTGGTTTTGTAGTTACTTAAATGAAAGGCACGTGATTTCAAAATTAATGGGATTTTAATTTCTATTGGAAAATAGAGTGAGATGTTCCATAAGGATCGTAGCTGAGGAAGATTCTGATCATTATTTTTACTAACGACTTTTGTAATGGTCACTTCAATGGAACAAACTGCCTTTGAAGATAGCACTGCACTTTCCTTCACCGAAGGGTCGCAGATAGCAATCCAGAAGCAAACAAGTCAAGATTTAAATGTGATAAAGTGATTCTTCTGCAAACATAATTTGACTTTGAGCGTATTAAAACTACATACATAAATCTGTCATTGAGGCAAGCAGTCAATTGTATAGAGGATTTGTGTTGTAATTTCAATAAATGTAGCCTATATCATTAGTCAACACATGTCAATTGCTATGTAATAATAAAAAAATGACGCCACGAAGTAGTTTAGACATTGGGAAGAGAATGTAATAGAAAATTGCATATGGGAAAGTTGAAAGATAGATAGGTATAATATCCAGTATTTATATATTTTATTTTCTTCGAAACATTTTCCCATTTCAAGTTTTAAGATATTATTTTTTTGTTTTTGTTCATAGTGGACTTGAATAAGGAATATTCTGGGGTGTCACCTATTTGACAAACTTTAAGTCTCTAACAACTCCGCAAAAAACATTCGTTATAGTAATTTGTATCAAGGGTGATTTGATGCATGATATCCATGTTTCCAAGAGCTCAATCTAATACCTTTAAAATCACTTTTATTGTTTTAAAGTTTCAAAATTGTTAGGTAGTGAATTGATAGCTCTAAATAATAGGGAAAACTTCAGAACTGGGCTAAAAAATTCAAATGTTTTTACTCAAACATATTTTCTAATTGTTAACGTATATTCACATGTTATTGCTCATGTCACAGGCTACTAAATTAGTTGAGAATTATTCAACGCCATAATAGATTTTTACGGAAATTAAGGATTTGGCTAAGGAATACTAGATACATTGAAGATATATGCCTGTAGTTGGGTAGTGTTAAAATTAGAGTTATGGGTAATAGTGTAAAGGTGTTTAGGTTTATAAGAGTTTTATTTATTTATTTCCTTATTGATAAAGCGTTGTATTCTAGGATTTCTTATATCACCTTGTTCACTGTTCATGATTTTTACTTAATTAAATGCAATTAGTGGTTTGTTTAATAATTCAAGGTTTAGTCCTACGATATTTGATTTTTATTTAGAATTGCCTATAACTATTATTTGACTCATTTTTTTTTCAATGTAAAATAGTTCACTAGTGTTAATTTAAGTCGACTAGACATTGCAATATTGTGGTGATAATTGGCTGTCTAAGGTTTTATTGGTCAGTGTTTGTGGTTTTATGTTTCATTCAAAGTTTACGTTTTGTTTGTGGGCCCCTAAGACACATGGTTTAGGGGCCCAAACTTTCTTCGTTTTGTTTGCTATAATGTTGTGATTGGTCAGCATTGAGTATTGTATTTTATTTAAAACTTGTAATATACAACGAAGGAAAGGAATATTTATATACTGTGTGAAGTGAAATTCACTCTATGCCTTTACGTTATGAAATGGTAAGTGACGTATACATGTAAACGATCTATTGGCTTACAAATGTTATATAGCACTTTTTCCTTGTACTGAAGCAAAAAGGTTGCTTTCAATATATATTTTGCGTGGTTAAGGTAGTTCATTTTATCGCTATGGCAAAAAGGATCAACTGGAGTAGAAGACACTAGATTTAAAATTTGCTGACTTTGTCCGCTGGGTTTACCGAAGGGCATTTTTTTCATCAATTAAACTTTGTCCATATTGCAGTTGAGTTGTCGTGTTTATTATCGTTTACAATTACATTTCTCATTACAAGATGTACGAACTTAGTATAGGTGTAATATCTGAAAATATTGTTACGAAATTAAAGACATATGAAAGAAATAATTTTAGCTATTGTGCAGACAGGTAAACTTTTACTGTATGTGTTTTTACTAAAGAAGGTAATGTATGAGAATTCAACTCGCTTCATAGTTCGATCATATGATGAACTAAATATTGCCTAAATGTCTAATTCAATATTTTTATTCGAAAGGTGAAACTTATTGAAGAAAGAATTTAATTCCTCAACAATTTCTTAGCTATTGGATCTGTGAATATGAATATTGGGCGATTTAGTGACTTTGAAACATATGCAATTAAAATAAATTTTCCAGTGTATTAACAATCCAAACATTTTAAGTAGTAATGCAAAGAGCACTTGAATAATTTTGAAATTGACAAATAAATAAATTCTCAAAATCTGTTATTTAAGTATATTAAGATTTTTATCCTTAATATATGTTCATAAAATCATAAATGTTATTTCATGGTCTAGGTACGTTATGAGACCCAACAACAATTAATCACCGTGACTTAGGGGTGAATAAAACGCATAAAACCGGAGGGAGATGGAATTAAAACTTGGAAGGTGAAAAGTGCTAAGTTTACAGACTGTGCGTTTTAAGACAATATACTTCAGATATGATTAGTCTTAATTACTTCCGCTCTGAAACTAAAACACTTTACTTGCCGTTGCATTTTTAGGGAAAATCGAAGACCAATAAATTACTGAATACCCTATATAAATATTTTCTTTTTCATAAAATGTATTGTGACCCAAGAGCCTTGGTGTCACATTTCAGTGGATTTAGTTAGAAAACCCCTTGTTACAACTTCAAGCAAAGTTTCATTAATAAAGCAATCACGAACGATAAAGAGGTTTGCTTAATGAAATGTTTCGCTGATGTAATAAAAACACTCAAAAAGGAAAAGAGATTAATGAGAAACGCGGTTGGTTTGGTTTAATAAAAAACAGCTTTTCTTTTTTAGTGGTCCGATTGTTCTCTTTTAATTTGTAACTCCGGTTCAGCCTTTGTATGCTTTTTCGTTTTGAGGATAACGCATCTGTAAATTAATTCAATTTATCTGCACTATAATACTGCACAATTGACATTTGTTCCAAACTTGTTTCTCAGAGTGAATTCAAAAAAGTACTGTTAAGTGAAAATATAATAGAACTGGTCATTTCTAGGGATGTTTTTAACCTGATTACGTTTTGGTTGACATAAATAACCATACATCCGTAGATGGTTCAATACAGATGTATTACTGCGTAGCTTGTTATAATCCAACTTGTGTTTATACGATAATCTTAAACATTGAAAGTAATAACATTAAAAATTAATCAAGACTTTTTCACCATGAGCTATGCAAAAACTAATAACACGTTTTAAATAATTTCGAGACGAAACTACGTCTTCCCCTACCCATTAAAATGGAATGGATACCAACATAAAAAAGACAGAGGTACATAGAAGGCATTAACATTAAGTACGTTTAGTGAACACCTAGAAATATGACTTTTGACAAAGTTTTCCTGGAAATAGTTGGAATAAATTGATTAAACCAAACACCAAACATTATTCTGAATTCACACATAGTGTTTACATATTTTTTTAACTCTTACTGAAACCGTTTATATTTTATAAGTTAGTTATTTTGTGTTAACTAATTCGAAGAACCTAAACATAAGATCGTATAATACATACATCGTTGAGATCAGCATACATCATGACCTTACCCGACCCCAATGACGTAGCCAGGGGGGGTTCTGGGGGTCCGGACCCCCCCCCTTCCGGTCTTAAATATAATATTTTTCTGTTAAATTAAATGTAAAATTATATAATCATACTGTATTGACGTTGGGGTTGATTATTTTCGATGCCAAAAGGGCTAAAAAAGACCATTTTAGGGCCTATATTTTTAAAATCTTTTCCCGGACCCCCATTTTACCTGGAGGGTATGGAATACCCCCCAGACCCCCCGGTCGGTCGTCCCCCCCTATTTTTAAATCCTGGCTACGTCACTGCCCGACCCTCCGTAATATCCACACTTGATTTCATAGATAAACTTCCACAGTTGAACTGGACCGAAAAGAAAATAATTCCACCGGAAAATAATTACATGACGAAGATGATTATTGCGATAGGAAGCGTTGGGGAAAGGCGTCCATGTCACCAGTAAGACAAGAAGGACATGGTGCGAGTGACACTTGTTATATAAGAGGATGCAATCAGGATCCAGAGGATGAGGATGATGGGGCAACTGTCATGTGTGAGCGTGGCGGAACAGAGGACTGTCCCCCTCAGACCCAGCGAACCATGACCGGGGACTGGCGAGGACATCGACACTGGCAAAACCATGGAGTCAGAAGAAAATGTCCAAATATTTGAGTGCTGCCCAACATCAGTATGAAGAATGTTGGTTCTGAAACCTATAAATGTAGGTGTCAACGCTGTCCAAATAAATTTAAGAGGTCTTAGGTGTAGGATGTTCATTCAAGTATTGCAAAAAGAACTTGTGAATTGGTGGCCAAGACTGTAGAGCCATAATGTCTGATATGTACATTTAAGTGTTAAAAGTTGTTCGGAGTTATGTGCTCGAATGGGAATGTTAAACTCAAGCTGACTATAAACATCCCACGGGTTAAGACCATTCAAATTATCTGCATTTTTGCACGAAACTGAAATGTGCAGAGAAATTCTGGATCATAAAGATGACTTGCTTACACACTTGAGGAGTGGAATGCCAATTACTAAGCCCGTCCGGTTGTACTTTCATGATATTCTCTTAGTTATTTTTACAGTAATGCCAAAGGATTTTTAAATGTGGGGGACCTTCTTACCCTCGTTTCGTAATTTTCTCACTAGATGTTTGAAGATACAGTCATTTTTACCAAGTCCTATTGAAATAAATAGTTTACAATGAGTTTCCTTTTTTACGCTGTTGTCCAAAGGCGAAAGATAGTTTAATCCATCTATTTGTATACTATTATTATTTTATCTGGAGTCAATTGAATAAATGAGCTTGTATTCTATAATATGGTTTGTAAAGAAAGAAACAGAGGAAATTTAAATTGATCAGGTGGAACGCTGGTATTTCTAACAGGCGATAGCGAAATCACAGTGTTGTCAGCCTCGAGATTTTTTCGTAGCATGTGATATTTCATGTTGGCCTTTTTTGGAGAAGCCTCTCTATATTTTATGAACCCATTAACACATCTTACCATTTCATAATACAGTAGTTTTTCCGTTGCTTTACAATTATATTCCTTACAAATACTATGTAATCCTACAGAGTAGAAAGATGCAATCACCTGAAATTGAACCCTTCACAGAGGAACGCCTCCTCCTGGGCGCAGAGCTCCTCGCAATGTCTCAGAGAGGCTGTAGGGACGGTCCGTCTGAGGTAGCGGTCGGCTAGCTTGCGGCCAGTGGCGAACCGTCGAAAACATGCTGCAACACACTGATGAGGTTATACAGACCGTCTAGAGCCGCAGGGCCCTTGGTAGGTCCTAGAGTCAATCGTGGGAGTCGATGCATGAGACGGTGAGGTTATGAGCCAAACCTTCCAGGAGATGAGCAACTGACAAATGAACCTTAGGCGATCACAAACCACGCCACAGCTTTGATTCTCCTAATCACTCCATGCTGTATAATCTAATTAGACCCAACCAAGGAGATCCCGTATATTCCAACCCCTTTGATCTAATTCCTGAGATCTAATCAATTCATTCACGTATTTAGAGATGTAGCTGTAAATCTGCTTTCAAAGGGTAAACTAATTTTTTTGTATTTTTATTTAAAATTAAGACTCAATGCAACCAATTAAATATATATATATATATTATTTTAATATATTGGTATACATAATGACAATATATATATATTTACATTCCTAACCGATGGATAAAATAATACGATTTCCAATTTGTCTTTATAATTTTAACCACTAAACATAATTACCTAATTACTAAGCCAATTCTCATATCCAAGGTCCCTAAAGTCTATTCTCGCTGCAGGATCAGCAAATCCCTGATGAAACTAACCACATAATACACGTCTATTACAGAAGGATTACCCGAACACCTGCCAGTTCCCAGATACTCCTATTGTTTAACGTTTACCCAGGTTTAATATTAGGATTCATCAAATGCATCAATAAAAATACTAATCATTTATTAAAAGATTTAAAATTGTTATTCCGATATTGTTTAAAAATCTTGTTTTATAGTGAAATATAATTTTACTGTGTGCTAGCGAATTTACTGAAACTATAAATCTTGGCGGTACATTATTTAATCAAAAAGGCTTTTAGAAAAAGAAACATCAATATATATAAAGCCCGAGTCACGACAATATAGAGAGTTAAAGGTTAATCCATCTCCGTCAGTCAGTGACACTGGTGTTCCCGTAGGAGGTCCAATCACAGCTGCTTTGCCCTGGATTTTACCAAACATCTCACACGATTGAAGCATTTAGGTAGTGCACAACAATAATACCTACATCAGAACTAATCTGAAATATAACACTCAATGTGCTCCATTGAATATGCTAAAATGTGTAAACAAAATAACCTACAGTTACACAACAGAAATATAAATGTTTCATAAAACAACATACCGTTATTGTGCAAACAAACTACAGATTATACTGCAACAAAGCACTTTAATAATATTGCAACAACTGTGGTAATATGTGTTCATTCTACGTGATCTGGTATACAACTGTAGTTCCTTGCAATACTTTACCCTCTTCTGGGGGAGGTAAATGGGTTTGGACTTGACCGTCTTCTGAAAATACACAATATTGGATTTTAAATTACAATTTATAGAAACTTATTTGGTGACCAATGCCAAAAGTTCTACAGTATGTAAATAAAATAGTATTGATATATTGTAGCAGCTTAGATTTCATGTGTCAGATTAATCTATTTTCATACTAACGATTATACACTCCAATCGATTTATTTGTTATTCTGGGTTCTGGGTTCACTAGTAATATAAAAAAAATCACAACCAAAAACGACGACTATAGGTTTACCATAGAAACACGATTCCATCCATTTTGAGCCATTATATAACACTATTGAGATTCTTTGTTCATACAAAGATGAACGCATCTGTATCTGTTATTGCTTAAGATACACTTTAAGGCATAGTTGTCATAGTTGCAGTAAGCCCTATAAGAGTAGACACTGTTTCAAATTATTATATAAAAAAATTGAAATGATCACTTGTATTTGGATATATTTCTTTCACAGTTCAGTATTGTTTAACATAAACTGATTTTACATGATAAGATCTCCACTTAATTTCTGGCACGTACTATTATTATATAGTACGTGAGAGGCACGTAACAGGAGGGCAATTGTATGGTTTTCATAGTAACTAAATCCACTGTGTTAAAAACATACTTTACAATAATGGTATAACCCTAATACTGGACATTTTTAAAACCTTTTTTAAAATATGTTTTTATTAAATCGTATGGAGAGCACATGCTGGTATCGAATCTCAGCATCAATTCTACTACCATCAGCTTGGAAACTCTATTTAACTGTGATAAGCCTCAAAGTATTTGCGACTTTTTATTATTTTAATTATGGCGTTTCTAAATTAGGCCGTTGCTGTCATTTTGATATATCACGTAGTGTATACGGGTCAAGTATCTCTACAACGCTATATTTGCCTTCGGCCTAATATTTAAAACTTCGTGAAAGCAAAATCAATACATGGACGTTGGCCTAAAGCAGACTCTACAGTATTTTACTGAATAAATTAGTCAGTATTATTCCTTATTTCATACTTCACAACTATATTAATCGTTATTATATTACAAAATAACCTTTTAATTGTATTGTTTTAGTTTCAAACTACTAATTTTGAAAGGAAGTATTGTCATTTGGATGGTAGAATATAATTTAAATCACTATCCGTTTTAAAATTGGAGGAGAAGAAGTTTCTAAATGGAAGAAAGCTTTTAAGGTTTAGGTTTTTATTCCAACATAATATTTGAAGATTTAATATTACAAGTAGTTAATATTAATCCGGCCCCATACCTAGAATAAGGTCCCATGTTATCCTACATACATATTTCCTTACTTAACACCATACATAAAATAAAACCTTACAGTAAATTTACCGATCGTTAAGGCCGGCACCTCTCTATCCCGTTGCGCCAGTTTTAAATTTCCAGAACAAGGCAATTTATTTATCTATTGACCGTACCTGACTTAGATCGAAGGTATATTTTCCCGCCAAGATAGGACTAATTCTTCATTTCTTAACACAAAAACGTGTCCACTTTAAACTAATTTTAAATAAACGCTACTATTAAGGATTTGTATACTAATAATGTGGGTCATAAAAAATATGTTTACGTAACTCATACTTCTGTTATGATAAATGCATCACTAGTAGTAATAATTTAACAAGATGCAAAATACAGTAGATTTCGCTTCACTGTAACTCCCGCACATCTAACTATGATTAGCTTGCTAGGCTCTAAGCTAGAACAACTCGACTATAGCCGCGGAAGGTAATAATGTTGGTCTTCGCCGGACACCTCACCGGTAATTGTGGCTAGCTTCCCACATTGTTAAACGGTGAATTTGTTTCAGGATCTCAGCATTGAGCCACTCGGTCAAGGTGTGATGGACCCTTAGTTACTAACAGCTGAGATATCTTCCACCTGTTTCATTCACATCTGTACTTAATTGATTTCCAAGGAGAACATTGAACGTTTTATCTACCATTTACTGTATTTACATATTGTTATTTAACTCTCTGTTAGTAACTCTTGAACAAATATGTATGCTTGCATTCAAATGTTTCGGCTGCTAATTCGATCCCAAGCGAGGACGATTCTGTGCTCAGGTCCTTTTTTTATTGGACTAGTGATTGATGATGTAATCTAACAAAATGTTGACGTAGTAACAAGAACAAGCTTACAAAACAAAAATAGTAAACCTTAAGTAATAAAATTTGTAGTTCCGGTTTAAAAAATACATAGCCTACATACATTAACGGGATATAAAGCCGCTTGTGCAACTCACTGACCAAGTATACAAATGTTTACCCACTTCTAGAATAGCTAGGAATCTGGAATTTGTTGTAGAGGTCCGTCTTGGTCCCAAACCACCCAGAAAATCCAAAAACTTATATTTTCAAGTTACACACAGTTACCCCCCCCCCAAAAATCCCTTAAATCCCCCTTTTGTTTTTAGAAAAACATATTTTTTAAACGGCTTTAGCTCGAAAACGGTAAGAGCTAATAATTTGAATGAATTTTCATAGTCAGGAATTAAATTGTCTACAAGACACTTTCAGGAGTTTTTCGAAAATCGCACTCCTTCACCTTCAAAAAACGAAATACTTCTATTTTTTTAGAACTTCCTATAATTTTCGACGAGTTTTTTAATTTTTTAAATGACTTTTTGGACATATATTTTCACTTTTAATGATCCCAACATTGAAAGAAAAGTTCCTTAAGTGACATTTTAAAATTGTAGCCGACTAAAAAGATTTTAAATGGCGGACTTTCAATAAAAAAGCTTGTTGGGCCAAACCGTTGTGCACGGGTGTGGTCTGATTCACCCTGTAGACAGCTTGTACCTGAGCACTGGTAGTAGTGCCTAATTCAGGCGTATTTCTATACTATGCTCATATTTAATAAAATAACGCATTTAATTAAATACATTAGAATAAGAATATTAAATATTTATTTAATAGGCCCAAGGTTGTGAAATACTACAAAAAATGGCCTAAACATACCTCGTCAAAGAATCCTTCGATAGTTCGTAAGATATACCCTGTGCAATTGTTTGTTTCATTTTGTGTGAATATTAAAAGGAATTATTAATACTAAGTGTTAAGTAAAGTAAAATGTTCTGCATTAGTTTTATTATGAGATACATTTTCATAAATATTGATATATAATGGACGCAACAAAATATATGCAGTCAGAAAATAAAACCGTGTTGTTGATCACTATCTGGTGTTTGGAGGATAAAAGAATTGTTGCAGACAAAATTTTGTGTTTAAAATGGTCTACAATTTTCCTCGAACTTGGAGGGTGTTAAGTTGTGTGGCTCTAAGGTATATTAAGCTTGATGGCAACGTTTAAGTCTGCTCCATTGTAGGTCCAATAGGACCTGGCCTGATTTTTACACGTTTTATTAAATTAACTTAGATTAGAAACTAAATAACAAAGGACTTTGCGAAGGTTAATCTCTTTAGTCAGTTGTTGCGATTTCCTTTGAATAGGGACAGAGCGTCTAGTGTAAAATATTCGTAAAGACTAAAATTTAAACGTTAATTGAATCAGCAGATGCAATTCTTAGCTCAAATTTCCCCCAAAAAGGTTCCTATTTTTAATATTCGATTTACGAAAACTGTAAGAACCTTTTTTCGACAATTACAAAAAATCTAAATTAGACATGAACGACAAAACAATTGAATACACTGTTTTAAAAACACAACATGTTTAGCCTCTGGATTACGTTTTTGAAAAATAAAAAGGTTAAATACCTGCTGTACTGTCGGTGATCCGTTTTTTGTCTGCGATCAAGGTTTGAAAAACAGTCGTGTAAGTGTTAAACGTATTACAGACGACTCTACTCTTCACAACCCCAAGGATGTAGGGGATATTTTCAACTACTTGGTACAGAGCTTGAAATTAACCTTTGGGTCCGAAACCCTGGTCGCAGACTAAACACGAATAACCGAGAGGTATTTAACTTTTTTATTTAGAAAATAATAAGTTGCGATACCTTTTATTATTCTCCTATAGTTTTCCGATGACTATATTTCTTACCACCAAATCTTCCGAATTGTTCAACGTTTCGTGTTTATGTACTATATATTTGTGTTGATATTTTATGTATGAGAGAGAAGACGGAAGGTTTGGCGATGCAACAACCTAACCTTTATAAGCTTTGAAACCATAGTCGTCCTAACACTACAAGAATTGTCAATGATAAAAGTTAACATAACCTATTATTTTGTATCAATTTTCAACAATTTAGGTGTAAAAAATATAAATGTTAGTACACAACCCAACATTTATACGTAGATATTTCACCACACTATATATAAACCCTACTTTTCCATAAAAAAAATGGTTTTAAATCTCCAAATTGTTTTGTCATATTTCAGGATTATGCTACAAACATGTTAAGAGATATTGTAACGAACAACAAACATCAGTATGAGGATGACATTTTAACCGGATGTATATGGGAGTATGGCAGGACTCACCAGGGGCGTCCTCGACGACGATGACGTTGGAGAAGAGGTCGGAGTGAGAGTCGACGACCCAGGGGGGAGGTAGGATCATCATTGTCACCATTAGCAAATACTTCCACATCCTGATCTTGAGATATAAACTAGCTAGCGAGTGTTAGTAACACCTACGAGAGAAGACCTCCTTTTGTTTCTGCCCCCGAGAATTAATATACTAAAATCATTAGCTTTATTCCACTTGTAAATTAGGACTAATATTAAATTTGAAACAGGGTAATAGTATCAATGACTTTAAAAAGTATTTAACGGGATGTAGATCAAAATACGTCCAATAACATTCACGAAATGTACTTTTACACTGCCAAAAGACGGTAAACATATATAAAAGACTAGTGTTGATCGATTTCAATCGGACACTCCAATCATAAGCAGAACCAAAAGGCAATGGCATATAAATTTAATAACACATATAACGCAGATCAAGAAGTCATATAAAACTATATCTAACTAACTACTGTACCTTGTATTGTTTCAAGGGAACGTACATGTGTGTGTATTATGTATTTAAACTTTCATAAAATCATATTTTGTTGTGGTGTTTCCGGACCAATTGATTGACACCGATTGATTGGAGTCGAGTCTCGACACACGTCTGGCGCGCCTCCATATCCTGCCCGTGCACGCGTAACAAAAGTAAAAAATGTTAAATAACGGTCGACCGGTTTTTATATGTGTTTTGTGTTGTGGACATCTTACGCACCTCTTCAGGGAAGTTTAGTGTAAACAGTTCTTATACGGATCCGACGATGGCGCTCGCGCCGAAATGTACATAATCCACTAGCACAATACTTGGACCACAAGGCGACAAGCAGGTATTTTAACCTTTTATTTGTTTTTTCATAAAATTGTAGAGCCGTCTTTAATTACTCCCGTGCCCTTAGCACCAAGATTTTGTCATTTTAGTATCTCTGTTAGAATCACAGTGCTTAGGAAATCATCCCCTTTAAAAGGAAATCAGTTTACCTTTCAAAGTAAGGGTATCCTTGGGAATCAACTGTCGGGTCCGTCCCTCTACTCTGAAGTCCTGGGCATTGATTTGATCAAATTACTAGCTAACCTAAATACTAGGGGACACTTTAACTGCAGAGCGATAAATTATCTAGTAAATTTATTTAACAATAACAACTTGATTGTTAAACTACATTAAAATATAACAGAATGGAGGTCTAAATATCTTAGTTTTAAATCTTTGACGTTAATTAATTTGTAAATGTATTTATTTATTAAGAAATATTATGTTTTGTAGCGTCTGTAAGTAGTATATTTTACATTATAGTTAATTACAACTACTTTAAAGATTTTTCAGGGTTAAATGTGATAAGTAACACGAGGCAGTAACGGTAATATATTTCTCACAAAGAGCCGAAACAAGGTTTTGCACACTTAATGCCGCGTTTTAAGTTCTAAACCAGACTGTGGAAACATAGAAACCTTTTAAGATCCATTAGCTAAAGATATAAACGCCTTTTTCACCACGGTTAAAATCAAACTCTAATCTATAACGGCCATGTATGGTTTTATACTTTCTAGGCAACTATAAGAATGCATAAGTTGCCCGTTGTCTGTGGTTGAAAGTAATGATTTTCAACCCCGGCTGGCAAAACGCAGTGTCCTTCCATCGACTAACATTCTAAATACAGACAACATCCTATTGTAGTAAAACTATTTTCTTAGGCCAAAATTCAACATTAAAATCAGCTGCGAATACCGGTACTTAACTATTTTTATCAAAAGGCCCTGTTTAACATGGACATCAGCTGAAGAATGTTTATACGGTAGGGTATGTAAAATGCTGAGCTGAGCCATTAGGTACTTTTCTAATTTTAAGTACCTAATGACTCAGCTAAAAATAGTTTCAAGGATTAAAATAAATAAATGTTCCTCAGTATTATATCAGTATTGTTTTATTTAACATGATTTAGTTTGAGGTTTAGTAATGTTTATTTCTATGCCTCGAGTCTAAAAAGTAGTTTTTACATATTTTAATTCGAATTTTTGAAGAATTTGTTTGAAAATACAGTTTCATGCTCAAATGATTGTGGTAAATATTTGTTTAAATTTGTTTTCAATGAAAGGGGAATATTTTGAGTCACTTTTTGATATTAATTAATCGGAAAGCCTCAAATTGGTTCCAGTCACCTGATGTCTGTATGACTGACTGGTCAATTTACAAGATTTATGTCCCGTGGGTGAGTTTACAGTTTGTTGTTTACTAGTTTTCCATCTGTCGGTCTGTATGTGTTTTTTTACACATTATTTTATTACACAGGATTTATTTAAGATTCAATTTTCAATTTTGGTGCACATGAGTACCCTAATTGGCATGTTAAGTGTATAAAACCGTGTATTTTCAAAATAATGTTTTATAGCTATGAAGATTTTCATGGTTTTTGACATTAAAACTTTTAAACGGTTACCGTTTTGAAATGGATTTGGTTACAGAAACGAAATTTAATACACTTATTTAACCTGATACGATACACATTTATACTAATGTTGGGGGCGTAATGGGTGAAAATGAAAATAATTAATAACTCGAAGGACCAGAACTAATTAATAGTTCAAGAGAAAAATAATTAAATTAGAGAAAATGGCGAATCTGCAATTTGAAGGGCACTGAGGTCCCGATATGGAATAAAATGTCTTGTGAGGGGCAAATGAGATTAGTTTTAGAGTCTAATTAAAACACACACAAAACTTTAAGGTTGTACCTTGAGTCCAATTATCCAAAGGTGGAGAGTATGGCAGCGGCGTCGTCTATGGTGGAGCGATGGCGGATGGCGGAGTCCTTAGACCGAGTGCTTCTGTTTTGTAGAATTTTGGAGAACGCAACGCACCCAAGTTCATAATCACAAAGAGCTCACTAATACGCGGAAGTCGCGGTGAAAACGTACGGAAAGTCTAGAAGTAATACACGGACGCGCACACACTGTCTTGAGGTTTAAAGAGTCTGAAAGCACTAGATCACAATTTAAGTAATTTAATCACAAACAAAAGGGGGAAATTAAAATGTATATATAGTTAAATGTACTATAGAGGAGAGGGAGGCCAGATATAATTAATCTATAGCCTAAAAATACGTTTAAGGGAGGTAAAATGGGCAATTAATGTCCCGAGATACGAGAAACGGAATACACCGTGAGTTATGGACGCCGACCGTGGACAGACAGACGCCGATCGCCGGCTTCACACTTTGAAAAATGCAATTGCGGTTTAGAGGGGTCTAGGAATTCGATGGCCAATAGGAAATGCGATTGAAGCAAACACGGCGTCAGGTGATTCATGGGTATGTAGTACAGGAAAATAGGCCTTACTGTGGCGGGAAATTCGAGCAGGCTTAGCAATCTCATTTGAATATTGAAAGCGGGAGTCTATTTACAATAAATTGTTACTGAGACTAAATAATATTACAATAAATGTGGTGATTTATATACACATTAGCATGATTAATTAACCAGTGACTTAATTAACATAATGATTAATTTCTAAATACTCTAAAAATATGAATACCGAACATTCCGGCCCCCTTGAAGCATTACAGCTTCAACAGACAATTAATTAAAAAACACAAGAGCAAACGTAAACCACACTTAAATCTAATATGTACATAGAGTAGGTTTCTTGGACTTAGTCTTCATTGCATGGCAGAGGGAAGACCTTGTGAACAGGCCGTGTGAAAGTCCCAGAAGCTGTCTTCACTGTGACGACTCGAACTGTTCCATCAGCGCCAGGGTGAGTGGAGACGATGCGTCCAAGAGGCCAGGTGAGTGGAGGTGAATTGGAGTGAATGAGCACCAAGTCTCCGGTCTTCAAATTCTCATGAGGGGTGGTCCACTTGGATCGCTGCTGGAGGGAGTGGAGATATTCAAGCTGCCAACGCCTCCAGATACGCTGGTGAAAAGCCTGGACAAGCTGCCACTGACGAAGACGATTGAAGGGCACTTCAGACAGGTGAGGTTCCGGCAGGGCAACTAATGGAGCTCCGATGAGGAAATGTCCAGGGGTCAGCACAGAAATTTCGGAAGGGTCTGAACTAAGAACTGTAAGAGGGCGCGAGTTTAGCATTGCCTCTACTTGAATGGACAAAGTTTGAAATTGGGTTAAAGTTAAAATGGTTTCACCAATTACCCGTTTCAGATGGTATTTTGCACTTTTAACGGCACTTTCCCATAAGCCACCTTGATGAGGTGCAGAGGGGGGGTTGAAATGGAAGTTAATTCCTTTGGGGATGGTGAAATGAACAATTTTGTCCTGCGAATCAGGTGTAAGGATGGTTTCACGGATTACCTTGCGTAATTCCGAGTTTGCACCAACAAAGTTGGTTCCGCAGTCAGAATACAGATCGGAACAGAGTCCGCGTCTCGACACAAAACGTGTGAGAGCGGCAATGAAGCCTGAGGTGGTAAGATCGGTGACTACCTCTATATGAATAGCTTTGGTAGCCATGCAGATAAAAATACACAAATAGACCTTAATCTGTCTAAGAGCTTTGAGACTGCAAACGCGAACACTAAATGGTCCGGCGTAATCTACGCCTGTAGATGAGAATGGACGAGTAGGATTGACCCGATGAGCAGGTAAATCACCCATCAGAGGGATTTTGTTTCGTGGTTTATTTTTAAAGCACACAAGACACTTAAATATGCGCGAGCGGATAACGCTCCTGGCCGATAGAATCCACACTTTTCGGGCGAGTAGTGATTGAGTTAGATGCGGACCTGAGTGCAAGTGTACCTGGTGGTAAAAGTCTATAAGCAAATTCACTACAGTATGAGACTTGGGTAGAACAATAGGGTGACGTATGTCATGAGCAAGCGAACAATGTGACAATCGGCCACCGACGCGTATGAGACCGTTAGGGTCGAGGAAGGGGGTGAGTTTCTGTAATTGTGCAGAACATATTGAGCCTTTGTTCAATAATTTAATATCCGCACTGAAATGGAGTTTTTGCACTAGTTTAAAAATTGTCACTTCCGCTAGATTTAATTCACTGAGTTTTAAGTGTCCAGAGAGTTTGTTTTTAGACCTGGAAGAGTTTATGAATCGTAGTACATAAGCTAGCACACGGGTTAGTTTCAACCAAGATGAATATTTAGACAATAAGTCC